ATTTCTTCAATTAATGTATTCTCCATAATACATACTACCATGAAACACTTATGTAGTAATAATAATACGTAGGTAAGGTTAATGTGACTATCATATAGTCATGCACAAGTGGCAAATCAAGCCTACCAGTACAGACAGAATTGACACACTGACACTCGTGTCTGGGTAATTAAATGGCAAATGACCTAAAGTCAAATCTGCAGTCAATATAAACTGAAAGTATGAATACAAGAGTGACAAATTATATCATAGTGGACAGATAGCTACAAATTACAAGTGGGGTATGCATGTGCAATATATAATGTGCACTAGTATATTTATTTTAACTTTCACTAGGATTTAGCGTTAAGTAACTTGAATTACTTATGAATTCATTCAATCACTATCCACATCGTCACCAGATTCATCTGCCATCCAGAGCAATTTCACGTGAAACGTTTTCACACCTTTCCATGTCCGCCTCACAGCCACACATACCAGTGAATGCTCCAGGCGCACGCAATGCACAAAGAACTGTATGAAATCCACTCAAGGCGAGCGGCCAAATTCAACACCAGGGATATGATTGAGAATATGTTGCTTCAGCTCCTACTTGGTACTAACTGTTGAGTGGCATCCGAAGCCATATAATAGATCTATTATATGGTCTCTGGTGGCACTATGCAGTCGTAAGACACCATATAATAGATCTATTATATGGTCTCTGGTGGCATTATGCAGATCTATTATATGGTCTCTGGTGGCATGATGCAGATCTATTATATGGTCTCTGGTGGCATGATGCAGATCTATTATATGGTCTCTGGTGGCATGATGCAGATCTATTATATGGTCTCTGGTGGCATGATGCAGATCTATTATATGGTCTCTGGTGGCATTATGCAGATCTATTATATGGTCTCTGGTGGCATGATGCAGATCTATTATATGGTCTCTGGTGGCATGATGCAGATCTATTATATGGTCTCTGGTGTCATGCAGATGTATTATATGGTCTCTGGTGGCATTATGCAGATCTATTATATGGTCTCTGGTGGCAGATCTATTATATGGTCTCTGGTGGCATGATGCAGATCTATTATATGGTCTCTGGTGGCATGATGCAGATCTATTATATGGTCTCTGGTGGCATGATGCAGATCTATTATATAGGTCTCTGGTGGCATGATGCAGATCTATTATATGGTCTCTGGTGGCATTATGCAGATCTATTATATGGTCTCTGGTGGCATTATGCAGATGTATTATATGGTCTCTGGTGGCATTATGCAGATCTATTATATGGTCTCTGGTGGCATGATGCAGATGTATTATATGGTCTCTGGTGGCATTATGCAGATCTATTATATGGTCTCTGGTGGCATGATGCAGATCTATTATATGGTCTCTGGTGGCATTATGCAGATCTATTATATGGTCTCTGGTGGCATGATGCAGATCTATTATATGGTCTCTGGTGGCATGATGCAGATCTATTATATGGTCTCTGGTGGCATGATGCAGATCTATTATATGGTCTCTGGTGGCATGATGCAGATCTATTATATGGTCTCTGGTGGCATGATGCAGATCTATTATATGGTCTCTGGTGGCATGATGCAGATCTATTATATGGTCTCTGGTGGCATTATGCAGATCTATTATATGGTCTCTGGTGGCATGATGCAGATCTATTATATGGTCTCTGGTGGCATTATGCAGATCTATTATATGGTCTCTGGTGGCATGATGCAGATCTATTATATGGTCTCTGGTGGCATGATGCAGATGTATTATATGGTCTCTGGTGGCATGATGCAGATCTATTATATGGTCTCTGGTGGCATTATGCAGATGTATTATATGGTCTCTGGTGGCATTATGCAGATGTATTATATGGTCTCTGGTGGCATGATGCAGATCTATTATATGGTCTCTGGTGGCATGATGCAGATCTATTATATGGTCTCTGGTGGCATGATGCAGATCTATTATATGGTCTCTGGTGGCATGATGCAGATCTATTATATGGTCTCTGGTGGCATTATGCAGTCGTGAGAGACCATGTTTTATGGACGACATCCATATGAATGTTGTTCCAGAACTAATTATATGTTCCTGTAGACTGTAAAATTCAATTTCTGCCGAGATTTGTGATTGTTGAGATGCTGTGAAACGTTCTGTCTGTTTATGCGTTACATTGCCTATGGCATGTGAGTGTTCAACGTACTTTATCCAATATGGCAAGTGGCACTTGAAGTCATGAGCATGTGCAATGGGTCCAATGTAGCACTCAGCTGGACTCTCCACTGCATGTTGTCACCGGTTTCAACGGCATCTCTCAGTTGTTTACCATTATTGTAGCTACGTATTTGGTGCAATCTTTTGTTTCACAGCTTTGGCAAAAGAAACATTTTTCACTGTTGAAATTTAGCTGATGATGAACGTTGGCAACAAGACCCCAAGATGAAGGTGCAAATGAGGACGTACAAAGTGCAGGCTCTGTAGAAGTGGATGGTCTGCCTTTGGAAGGTGGGCATTGGACAGTAGACCCTGTTGCTATCTGGTCTTTAAACGTTCTATGTGGGCCGTGTTGGTTGTCTCCATTCACTATTACATGTATAAAGTACTGCGCTGTACTTTAATGTACTTTCACCAAACCGTACGCAGATAGCCCTTGTGTCATACCCAACATAACTACCAAGTTTCATTCAAATCAATTTGTTTAGATATTATACACATTCCCCATTTACTTAACATTGCGATTGCCTCTGTGTACTTGTAATTATTATGTATACATATATTTTTGAGAGGCATGATATATAATGGTAGTTATAAAACACCCATCACAAGGTACATTTTGAAATGCTACATGCCTATTTTGTGATGGGGTTATAAAAATATTTTTTCTTACATTGGTGCTGCAGCTCGATTATGGGTATCAATGTTTAGTTACACCAGAATGACACTTATAAATCATCAGGAAAAATGGAACCACGTTTTTTTTCTGAATCCATTTGAAATACTGATTACAGTTATCAGTGGTCCCAAACATGAACATGCACTTTCATCGGAAAAAAAGTTTGCTACACAAGCCAGTGCACTATAGATGTATGTGTCATGGTGGCTGCCCCTCTGTAGACTCCTCTCTTTTCGATAATTCCGGGAATGTGCGCAAGACGGTGTCAGCCAACAGACAAAGGGAGGCAACTCTTGTTCTCGAAGTCAGGGATTCCTGTGAAAAGTGTGGCTTGCACTTCACATCACAGATCGGCCAAGGACGAATCCGCGCCTACAACCCGTGGTACTGAAACTCTCAGGGGTCATCTTCAACACAAGCCTTCTGTTAAGGTGTTGATATCAGTGGACTGGAGCAAACACATTCACACAAAGTTATAACAGTTATTGAAACAGATTCTCAAACTTCTTCAGCTTTGGGTGGCTGGGTGGGTGGGACTATGCTGTTCGTGTTATTTTAGATTTAAACACTCAAAATGTTCTTGCCAGCTGTAAAATCTGTGTGGTGCGGCAATATCCCGGAAGTATGACAAGGCCAGTGTGTTTTAATGTTACACGGTCACCTCAGGAATGACGCACAATGCGAGTTGGTCATATAATTATATTTAATCACAAAGGGTTACACTGTATACACACATCAATACCACAAATCAACAACCTCTCTTACATTCCAGTCATTGTACACAACAATATAACCCGTGGAAGATGAGATCATGCATGTTTCATGCAGTTAAAATATAATCAGTAGTTTCAGCAAGCATGTAATTGAGATCCACCGTGATCTGAGTGTACCATTATATATAAGTGATCGGAATACATGAGGCCTAAAGCAAATATATAGGTATATATAGGCAGCCCATGATGTCATTAATCATTACCTCAGTCTGTATTCACTGTGTCGTCGTCGTCTAAGAATTACACAAAATAAATTCACAAAAAAACACAACCCCTCTAGGCATGTTAGCACTACACTCTCAGAGTAGAGATGATTCATGTGGATATATTATCTTTTGGATGGATTGTTCTTACTGGCACGGGGGGCGGTGAGTAGCCTAATGAATAAAGCGTCAGCTCGTCACGCTAGAGACCCGGGTTCGATTCCCTACATGCGTACAATGTGTGAAGCCCATTTCTGGTGTCCCTCGCAGTGATATTGCTGGAATATTGCTAAAACACATACTCGTACCCTACAACAGGCGCAGTGTCCAAATCCACTGAACAAGCATGTATACCAGAAAAATCACATATCATAACAATGCACAACAGGAACACTTCAATAGAAGTGTTGACCATTTCATTTTGAAATACCTACTGTATTGCAATAGAAGTGTTGCCCATACATCTATTACTCATGTAAGTGAGCATGACGACACTGTATTGCAATAGAAGTGTTGCCCATACATCTATTACTCATGTAAGTGAGCATGACGACACTGTATTGCAATAGAAGTGTTGCCCATACATCTATTACTCATGTAAGTGAGCATGACGACACTGTATTACAATAGAAGTGTTGCCCATACATCTACGTAAATTGAGCATGACGACACTGTATTACTCATGTAAGTGAGCATGACGACGACACTGTATTACAATAGAAGTGTTGCCCATACATCTATTACTCATGTGAGTGAGCATGACGACACTGTATTACAATAGAAGTGTTGCCCATACATCTATTACTCATGTAAGTGAGCATGACGACACTGTATTACAATAGAAGTGTTGCCCATACATCTATTACTCATGTAAGTGAGCATGACGACACTGTATTGCAATAGAAGTGTTGCCCATACATCTATTACTCATGTAAGTGAGCATGACGACACTGTATTGCAATAGAAGTGTTGCCCATACATCTATTACTCATGTAAGTGACGACACTGTATTGCAATAGAAGTGTTGCCCATACATCTATTACTCATGTAAGTGAGCATGACGACACTGTATTGCAATAGAAGTGTTGCCCATACATCTATTACTCATGTAAGTGAGCATGACGACACTGTATTGCAATAGAAGTGTTGCCCATACATCTATTACTCATGTAAGTGAGCATGACGACACTGTATTGCAATAGAAGTGTTGCCCATACATCTATTACTCATGTAACGTGAGCATGACGACACTGTATTGCAAATAGAAGTGTTGCCCATACATCTACGACACTGTATTGTACTACATCTATGTAAGTGACTGACACTGACGACATCTATTGTAAGTGAGCATGACACTGTATTGCATAGAAGTGTTGCCCATACATCTATTACTCATGTAAGTGAGCATGACGACACTGTATTGCAATAGAAGTGTTGCCCATACATCTATTACTCATGTAAGTGACGACACTGTATTGCAATAGAAGTGTTGCCCATACATCTATTACTCATGTAAGTGAGCATGACGACACTGTATTGCAATAGAAGTGTTGCCCATACATCTATTACTCATGTAAGTGAGCATGACGACACTGTATTGCTACATGCTCATGTAAGTGACGACACTGTATTGCAATAGAAGTGTTGCCCATACATCTATTACTCATGTATGTGAGCATGGCGACACTGTATTGCTCTCCAACATGTCAGCAGCAATATGTCTTTAAGTTACAAAAATATACTTCAGTAGTCTTTAGTGTGAATGTGTAGTCAGCTTCTGCACTGTTTGATTTGAGATCTTCAACTCTGACACAGGCTCAAAAGGTCATCATCAGTCTGTTCATGTTCAGTTGCTTTCAGTTAATGGCTGAACTGTGCCCCTGACCCACTACAATAACTGATCAGACATTACAGAACAGCACAGTTATTTCACATTTTAGCTGCTGTAAATTTATCATGGAAATTACTCTACGGTGTTATATTGTATCGTCACTGGGAGTCTGATTACATATTGCCCTATTGTTTTATACAGAGATAGTACAGCATAGTTCATATAACTGGGAGTCTGATTACATATTGCCCTATTGTTTTATACAGAGATAGTACAGCATAGTTCATATAACTGGGAGTCTGATTACATATTGCCCTATTGTTTTATACAGAGATAGTACAGCATAGTTCATATAACTGGGAGTCCCTTATCATTGTTGAGCATATATTGTTCATGTTTATGTAAGACAGTAATAGGTTGTTTAGATCTGTACAGAGAGAAGTAAGATATAAACTGCACATATACATCTTGTTTATTATAGTTTACTGTGTACATCCTTAAAATCAATGTCGATATGTTATTACAAACAGTGTGCATTATTCTGATTCAATATGCATTATTCTGATTCAATATTCGGAATCAAAATGGAATCAATATCATAAACACAGCATTCTCAAACATTGATCATGATTGAATTCATAAGAATCATTTAGAAAACAAGATATATGATCAAGTCCTCCCAAATATCAATGGATATCAACGAGTACAATACTGATCAATCATCTGCCAGTTGAGCAACTTGTATCATTAATTTTAGTAATGCCCAGCATTGTCTCAACATGTTGCTGGTATGTACAACACTGTATGTTAGTTTGTTTTCAATGTTAATGTCTGTATGTATCATCTTGTTAGTCTGTATGTATCATCTTGTATGCCTGTATGTATCATCTTGTTAGTCTGTATGTATTATCTTGTGTGCCTGTATGTATCATCTTGTATGCCTGTATGCAGCACCTTGAGTGCCGATATGCATCGCCTTATATGTCTGTATGTATCACCTTGTATGCCTGTATGTATCATCTTGTATGCCTGTATGTATCACCTTGTATGCCTGTATGTATCACCTTGTATGCCTGTATGTATCAACTTGTAAGGCTGTATGTATGTATCACCTTGCATGCCTGTATGCATCATCTTGTACAGCTGTATGTATCATCTTGTACAGTTGTATGTATCATCTCGTATGCCTGTATGTATCATCTCGTATGCCTGTATGTATCATCTTGTATGCCTGTATGTATCATCTTGTATGCCTGTATGTATCATCTTGTATGCCTGTATGTATCATCGTGTATGTATCAGTATGTATCATCATAGTGTATGCCTGTATGCATCATCTTGTACAGCTGTATGTATCATCTTGTACAGTTGTATGTATCATCTCGTATGCCTGTATGTATCATCTTGTATGCCTGTATGTATCATCTTGTATGTCTCAGTATGTATCATCTTGTATGCCTGTATGTATCATCGTGTATGTATCAGTATGTATCATCTTGTATGCCTGTATGTATCATCGTGTATGTATCAGTATGTATCATCTTGTATGCCTGTATGCATCATCTTGTACAGCTGTATGTATCATCTTGTACAGTTGTATGTATCATCTTGTATGCCTGTATGTATCATCTTGTATGCCTGTATGTATCATCGTGTATGTCTGTATGTATCATCTTGTATGCCTGTATGTATCATCGTGTATGTATCAGTATGTATCATCTTGTATGCCTGTATGTATCATCGTGTATGTATCAGTATGTATCATCTTGTATGCCTGTATGTATCATCATCTGTATGTGTATGTATCATCTATGTATCACATCTTGTATGCCTGTATGTATCATCGTGTATATATCTGTATGTATGCCTGTATGTATCATCGTCGTATCTTGTATCAGGCCTGTATGTATGTATGTATCATCTTGTATGCCTGTATGCCTCATCATAGTGTATCACCTTGTATGCCTGTATGTATCATCTTGTATGCCTGTTTGTATCATCTTGTATGTATGTATCATCTTGTATGCCTGTATGTATCATCGTGTATGTATCAGTATGTATCATCTCGTATGCCTGTTTGTATCATCGTGTATGTATCATCTCGTATGCCTGTATGTATCATCTCGTATGCCTGTATGTATCATCGTGTATGTATCAGTATGTATCATCTGGTTCTTCAGTGCACTTAGAGATGAGTTCCCTGAGGTTGGGGTTTTCCATGGCAGCAGCTATCCTCTCCTTGTCATTGATCTGCTTGTTGACTGCAACATGAACACAACATTCTTATACACAAGTGGGTATGACCAGGTCTGTGGTTGGCTGTTCCATGGTGATGACCCAAGATGGTCTACTCTCCTGATTGTAAAATAATTAAGTTTCTCTTCTCTGTGCCAACAGAATGAAGCTATTGCTGAGTATGGTTTTAGAGAGTTGTATAAATGTTATTTGATGTTCTCCAGTTTTCTGTCATTGTTGTCTTGACAACCCACACACATGGTTCGCACCTCTCCACCAGATATGCATAGTAAGCAGGAAGCCACAGGGCAATACTCACTGCGTTATGTTCTGTTTAAATACATCACTGCGATATATTGGGAATGGACAAAATATGATTTGATGTGATGCTAGATTTGATGAATTTTAGGATGAGAAAGAAACAGAACTGTACTTAGGCCAAACTTATGCTATTTATCTTACAACTTGTTCTCTGAAAACATATCTAATGAGAAAATATATTTAAAGTGATCTTTAACAAAACATTTACTTACTTTCATCAGCTGTGGAATGGGTTCCTTCCTTGATAAAAATATCCAGCTGGAAAGAAGACAATTTTAGCTTTAATATCCCGTAACAGTAGCAACAGTTGTTTCTTGTATCAATGGATGGCACTTACAGAATGAGAGTGTGCGCAAGATCGGATAAACAATGCTGTTCTAATTTTACATCCCAATATTTTGCCAATTGATGAAATCCTCATGCAAACACAGGAACAGGAATAGAAGGACCAATCATGGATACATACTAATCACTGCCCATTACAGCTGCTACTGTTGCTGTAGCAGAGAAGTGCTCAGTACTGGTGCAGATATATTAAGAACCTTGCTAGTTTTCCATCCAACAAAATCAACTTGCCTTATTTTGTTTTTCATATTGACCTAAAATATTCAAACACTCTGATCGTGTTTCACTGATGTGATTTATGTTCACATACAGTTAGCAGTTAGCATCATTACATCCAGACTATCCACAAGGTAGAGTTTTATCTTCCCAGCACATGTGGTAAGTCTTACTAGTACATGACATAGAATGGCAGGTGTGGTCCTCAAACTACTTTAAACACCTGGTAAATATAAGAAAAGTGAGATACTTTATGGATGACAACTTCTTTATCGTATTATGATGCGATGTTTCAGCATAGGTTCTTATACAGTTGTCAAGCACGAGTGTAGTACATCACCCTTACTTGACAATGGTATAAGACTGACTGACTGAGTTTGGTTTTACGCCGCTTTTAGCAATATTCCAGCAACATCACGGCGGGGACACCAGAAATGGGCTTCACACATTGTGCCCTTGTGGAATGGTATAAGAACCTATACTGAAATGTCACATCATAATATAATACAGAAGAAGTATCAAACCTTTCTTATTATTCATCAACTTCTAAAATGCCAATCAATGTCTATACCTAATAAATATACTTAATGAAAATTCTTGAAAAATGGCAAAACATGAGATTCCTTAAAGGTCACATGCAACGTAAAACACAACTTTGCAGATTCTGATACCTTTCGGTATGGACTTACCGAAAAAAAGCGTCAAAAATGCAAATTCAACTTATAAAGTTGAAAAATAACGCGATGGAAAAAAACGCGCGAAATCGGAGTTCAAACGTTTCACTAATTTTCCCCAGACTTTTCTGGGGAATACAGGTTTCAACAGCTGGCTGCGCTCATAGCACGTGCGCAGTGAAATAGGTTCGCGCAACTTGGAAGCGGGCTGTCTGGTGAATACTCGGTGAAGGCTTTGGTGTGAGCTAGTTTCATAATGTTTTGTTGATATCTCACAGGCTCGAGCTTTTGTATGTTATGACAGTAAATAAACTGTTTATATAATTCCATTTATCTATTTCACCACACGTTCTTCTTACCGAGTCACTTTCTCAGTTCGATACTTAAAAAGCAATGTCATTATTTAGAGTTGACACGATTTCTAACTGTGATATAGATATGTTGCTGTCACAGACAAAACTCAATGTCTTGTTTTATTGACACCAGTGTGTCTGCCTGCCTGTCTGCTAATGACAATATTCAATACACAACTGCGATCACTGACCACATGCAATTTGAACTTAATACCAATCAGGCTATACACCATAAACAAAACGCATTGATTTATGGCCCGAGTTCGGTCTCTGTCACATTATGTAATTACACAGACAGGCAGGTGTGATACTTGAACACATGACATGTTATGATGTCTGTTGATTGCAAAATGTTATACACAAAAATGAGCATGTATTTACAAAACCCAACTTTCTATATATACACACACAATGACCCGTGAAGGCGGCATCTGCTAATGAACCAGCCGTTACACTTGAGTGCACACCCACCTGCTCTGACTGGGTTCGGTATCCCGGCTGCTTCGTTTCGAGGGAGGTAAACCGAAGTACACAATATTGCACTTTTGATTTGCGATTATACGCTTATAATTTTGTTTATTTGTTTTTTCATAATCAGCAATGCATATTATATGTCATGAAGAAGTGATAATTGTGTTTTAATTATGTTTGATTTTTTGGTTGCATGTGACCTTTAAGAATACAGACCATTAAACCCAGGAATTGGTCTTTTTCAGAATTAAGACTTTTTGGTGTTGTGATGCGTATGTGTCAAAACTTTAGGAATTAGCTTGTTTACACAACTTCAAACTTTTGACCCGGGCCGCAACTAGTGTGCAAAGTTGACAACAGGACAGCAAGGAGAAAAGACATACCTTGTGCTGCTCAGGCAAACATTTCTCTAACTTTGTTCGCAAGCTTAAACCTGAAATGAAACATTGATCAATATTGTAGTTAATGATGTCAATGAATATCTTAATGTCTATGAATTTATGTAACATAAGTAATAACCTTTCGTTTATTTGACCAGCCTTGGGACAAACAGGTTAAATATTTGGCTTTTTCATGTAATTTGATTTCAAGCGCATTACATTGAGAAGAACAATCTACTCAAATTTGCTTACTAGACTAGAATTTACACGTGAAGATTTAAGATAATGCAACCCCTAAGCATGATAAGATATGTCCAATAAGATTTGTAAATATCATGAACATGACTATGGAATTTGTTTCAGGTAAAATCCCCACACGTGTACCAATGTATGCTGACAGTATAGTATTCACATTTGTAGCTTGTAGGATGACACAAACGTTCAGAGCAGCATACCATAGTTTCACATCACAAACAGATAAACAAAAAGAAGATACGTTGTAGATAATCTATACACTGAGGCATTTGTTGAGTCCTGGCATATTCACATACTGAGTGATTAATTCTGTTCTGTGAGGCATGATCTGATGACAGGTATCAGATCAACAACATCTAAGATTACCTATGAGTGATGCTAAAGAGCAGTGTGGAACTGTGGGGACGAAGGTCAGCTTGACCAGCAGCTGACCATCCTGGAGACGAGACACATGGACACCCTCCTCTGATATCACATTCAGCTCTTCCAAAGTCTCCGGCTTCTCTGGGTCTCTCACATCACGGATAATATCTGAATAAAAGAACATCCTACTTTCACTAAGGTTTTAAACTTTCCAAGTATAGTTCAAGTATACCATCAAAGTTCAATTACCATCATTACAACATATCAATAACTGTTACACCTTGTTCATTGTTGATACTTTCCTGTGAATGTAAGGACTGAGAGATTTTGCGCTGATCACAGTCGCTTCACTAAACATAACCATTAACAGCACCTCATTAACTTTGTCAAAGATTTAATTAAATCGAAACAACATCAGATGTAGCAGGGAGACTATATAAGGTTGTAGAGTATCCCTGAATGTAGGGATCTCAACCTCACATCAAATATTTAGGTTGATAAACCATACAATTTGAGTAATGAAACAAAATATTAACATTCGAAAGAAATATTCTGCTATGAGTGGGACTCACAAGAGATATCTGTTTGCAAGACACTCAACATCTGGTCTTCGGTAACCTTTTGGTTAAACTGGCTCAGATGGAATTAGATCATTATCACACAGAAAACAGTCCAGACATTCACCAACATTAATTCGGTAACTGTGAACGAATAGTGAAGGACAATCGAAATCAGGTCATCATCTCACCATAAATTGTCTCTTCGAGTATTTTCAACTCCCTTTCTCTCTCTGGGTCCGAGGCGGTAGTGTTTTCATCGTTACATGCTTTTTCCGGTGGAGAATTATTTTCATTCATTCTCGCCGGAACTGCATTTTTGAAGAAATTTACAATGCTTTGCATCGAGCTCTCGATGATGTCAACAAATTAGAGTTATCTCCCTTTAACTGAACTTCGTCAAGTTCCTAACAACGATAGAGTGCACATAAATGTGTCACGCGCTGGCGAGGAGCTTGTAACTTCGTTTTCATGCTCACCTTTGTGTATGTCGTCTTCCTCGTAGAACATTACGAATAATGCCGTCTGTTGTCACCGATGACGTGGAAGCTGCTGCCCTTACGTTCTGTCAGGGATAATCTACAACATTTATAGTCTCCCTGGCTCTGTATATCACGGGCCACACGTCAAAATGGTCATAAAACATCCAAGTCAAAATGGCCATATAAAAAGTCAAAATGGCCATACATTATTTTTTAATATTTTAATACTCTTAACATTTCCCCATGGTGTATTATTTGATGGGGTATTTTCAAGGTGTAAAAATGACAAAGGAAGTTATATCAGACAAATCTTGATGTTTATTACAAATCAACAAATCACGTTTTCAACAAATAACAAGACATATATTTGTAGGTTCTTTCTTCATGTACATGTACTTTTGTACTATTTTCTACTACATGACATCTATGTAGATCAGTTACATCAAGTCAGAAACAGTTCATTCCACTGGTCCAGTCAGCTGGACACACAAGACATCAGCTGGTAGAAGGGGTCCTTAACAATCTTAAAAGTCCCATCTACAAACCAATGCTGTGCAAGAGAAAGATGGGAGAGTTGCCTATCTGTAACAAATAGACGATGACACTCTCCCTTCACAACTATGGAGCGTCCAGACTCCTGTAGATTTGCCATGGCTGCTTCCTTCACCTGAACAGTAAAAGAGCAATTACAATAAACACAGACATTAACAAATAATTTATTGATTACGGCTTAATTAGTTAATGAGGCACTTCTGAATTCACCCCTTAATTAAGGTTACACAATGTATGTAATCACATGTTGATTAGTAATTAACGAGCCAATTAAGGGATACGTGATCATTTTATTAATACCTATACATCTTACCTTCATCTTCACTTGTGCCTCCTGAAGTTTACCAGGCTCTATCAGGTGGGAGTGTGGTGAACAGCCCTCAGTAAAGGTGTCCTAATCCTGTGTTGAGTCTTAATTGTCATGTCATCAAAACACTACCCAATCATCAAAGGGTCTTGAAATAACATCTAAAAGTATTAATTAAGAAAACATTGCGCGAGTAATTAAACATATCAGAGTATTACATAAGAAAACATCTCAAAGTACAGGATAAAAAAACATCTCAAAATATGAAATAAGTAACAATGTCAAAGTATCAATTTAGAAAGCATTTCAAGTACAATACTCATTGATATGGAAAAAAAATGTCTGGCCATTTTGACTTTTGTGTGTGGCCATTTTGACTAGTGTGGCCCATGGACCGGCACCTGAACCTACATACATTACGAGTTAAACTCCTTTTAGTCTAATGTTACAGAATTGTTACAGGATCTGGAGTTTCACACCAACATGAGCATCCCACTGTTATACAACTGTGGGAATGAAGTGTACATACTTCGTAAAACGGGGGGGCGATGGGGTAGCCTAGTGGTTAAGGCGTTCGCTCGTCACGCCGAAGACCCGGGTTCGATTCCCCACATGGGTACAATGTGTTAAGCCCATTTCTGGTGTCCCCCGCCATGATATTGCTGGAATATTGCTAAAAGTGGCGTAAAACCAAACTCACTCACTCACTCACTCGTAAAACGGCACACTGTTGATGTTTGCGAGTTTGTTGAGAGCATGATACTCACTTATATGTTTCTATAATCAGAACAGCACGTACTCATGAATGTGTTTAAGCGTAATTACGCAACGTGAGTACGCGACGCCATTCCTTGCTAAAACCCAACACCGTGGGTATGGAATGCACAACTTTGCTAGACCTTTTCATTTTTATTCACATGCAACGTAAAACACAACTTTGCAGATTCTGATACCTTTCGGTATGGACTTACCGAAACAAATCGTCAAAAATGCAAATTCAACTTATAAAGTTGAAAAATAACGCGATGGAAAAAAACGCGCGAAATCGGAGTTCAAACGTTTCACTAATTCCCCCCCCCCGACTTTTCTGGGGAAAACGGGTTTCAACAGCTGGGCTGCGCTCATAGCACGTGCGCAGTGAAATAGGTTCGCGCAGCTTGGAAGCAGATTGTCCGGTGAATACTCGGTGAAGGCTTTGGTGTGAGCTATTTTTCTAATGTTTTGTTGCTATCTCACAGGCGCGAGCTTTTTATATGTTATGACAGTAAATTAACTGTTTATATAATTTCACCACACTTTCTTCTTACCGAGTCACTTTCTCAGTTCGATACTTAAAAGCAATGCAGAATTTCTAACTGCTTGTCTTGTTTTATTGACACCGTTAGATAGTTTATGTGGGGGTTCCCACGTTAATGTTGGTGTCTGCCTGCCTGTAGTTTTATCTGTTAATGACAATATTTAATACACAGCTGCTATCACTGACCACATGCAATTTAACCCCTGACTTATCAGGCTATACACCATAAACAAAATGCATTGTTCAGTCTCTGTCACATTATGTAATTACCGGTGAATAATTGTTTAGGAGTTTGTTTGAAGGCTTTTAGCCTTTGTTTAGGGCTGTGAGCTATTTTCTAATGTTTTGTTGCCCAGCCAGTGGTGAGCGTTAAAAATCGCCTCTCACACAGACAGGCAGGTGTGATAGTTGAACACTTGACATATTATGATGTCTGTTGATTGCTAAATGTTATACACAAAAAATGAGCATGTATTTACAAAACCCAACATCTCTACATATACACACACAATAAGCCGTGAGGGCATACGCAAATGAACCAGCCGTTACACTTGAGTGCACACCCACCCGCTCTGACTGGGTTCGGTATCCCGGCTGCTTCGTTTCTTGGGAAGTAAACCGAAGTACACAGTATTGCACTTTTGATTTGCGATTGTACGCTTATAATTTTGTTTACATGTTTTTTCATAACCAGCAATGTATATTATATGTCACGAATAAGTGATAATTGTGTTTTAATTATGTTTGATTTTTTGGTTGCATGTGACCTTTGAGTTTATAGCTAAGTCCATTTAAGCCTTTTTACTACGAGCTGCAAGCTATGAGACAACTTGTCTAAGACTACAATTACAAGCGAAAACAAAACATAGATATTTGTAGCATTTTACCGCTTCAATGTTTCTCTCATCATAAAGCGAGTTTTCCATAACCGCTAATTCCCCACCTGTCCCAAAAAACAAGATTTTTAGTTTTATCTAAATTTACAGCTAATCCCCAGTTATCTGCATACGATTTTAAAGTGTCTAACTGGCACTGAAAACCACCAATAGTATCTGACACAAGAATTACATCATCCGCAAATAACAACATTAGAATTTCAAGTACATCTGGAAACAATTTGTCTCCATGTTTACCATAAGTTGTGATTTCTATAGGAAGTTCATTTATAAACAATGAGGATAACATTGGACTCAACATACAACCCTGCCGTAAACCAAATGTACCGTTATCTCGGATTGAACTCTGACACACGATTTTACTGTTTTATATATACTCATGAAAGCAATTTCCAGAGTTTATCTGTATTTACAAAACCAAAAGCTTTTATAAAACCTTCTACACAGATTTTTCTCGATGATAGCATACAATGTGAAGATATGGTAAACAACTGAATAGCCCTTCCGAAAACCAGCTTGAGTTTCAGAAGCTTTATCCATAACATTTTCCCATTTTGTTAGTCTTTCATTTAAAACACAAGTATATATTTTCCGTGTGAGCTTAGTAAAGGAACTATAATTGCTCTACTCCACATTTGTGGGAAACAACCATTTAAAATATTTTATTGAACATTGCTACTCAAAAGGGCATTATTGTAGATTCACTTGTTTTAATCATTTCTATAAGGACAATACCTGGAGATGTACCATTTTTCATATGTTGTATCACATGGATTCAAATCACTGTTTGGACACTGTTACGCAGTGGAAAATTAAACTAAAACTACATAAATTTTGACTTACCTTTCAATCAACTAAATGTGAAATCTCCTTATAATCAACTAAAAGTGAAATCCCCTTATAATCAACTAAACGTGAAATCCCATTTTTAACGCAATGAGAAATGTGAAATAAACTAATAAATCATGAAGTTTAAACTTAATATGAGGAAACTGTCCATCTAGCAACTGTCAAAATGTTAATGGATAATTCTCTCGACTATGTGTATTTCTATTTAATCTATACTTTTCTTGCTAGTTCAACATCTATCACGTGGAGAGATTTACCCATTAACAACCGTCACTAGTGCCTAAAACTGAAAGTTTTAACATCTGTATCATACGCGGTCGACCTTCGCACAGAATCTCGTGCAGCTAATGTCCTTGCCGCGCGTGTATTTGTGCTTTCAAGTACTGTGTCCGAGAGCATCAGTTCTTCACGGACCCTCCAGAACAGACACTAATTTTACAAAAATGAAAATCTAGACTTTCGCAATCGTATATTGCTTTCATATGTTATGATTAACATATATTTCAAGTTTGAACAAAATCGGTGAAGAAATGAATTTTTTGAAAATACTACCTCTACACCCGTTACATCCGTTACATAAAACACACAAGGCGTGGAAAACCTGATCGAAACTGGACAGCCCGATTCTACACAAAATATTGTGTTGAGCTTGTGTGTCATGCTTTTACCTTTCTACTCATCGTATTCAATTTGTCTAACTGCATTTCATATTTGACCACTGACCCTCGCATTAGCACTACCCTCTCCTTTGAACAAACGTCTGGCCCCTCGTCGATAAACATCGACAGTTTCCGTAAATCTTGATTGCTATTTAAGCCCTTTCGAGACAATAACACATATGCCATTGGTAAACAATAACACATATGCCATTTCCAACACCGACATGTGCGTTGATATTTCGTGTCAGCTCGCTGATGTCTCGAAATAGTACACACAAAACATGGATCTTAACGACCAAATTGCTTGAATATAGTTAGTATTAATGTAGTTTGATTAGGTATAATTCGATGATTTGGTCCCATTTCCTCCTGTTGTATGCTGGAAATAAACTGAACGCCTAGTAATAGTAACTAGAAAATTGTTGTTACCACATTATATAATTAATGATAAATAGATCTAACACATTTGATACACATAACTGATTAATTCGAAAATGTATTTGTGCAAAAGTGTAAGTGTGAAAAAAATTAAAGTAAAGAAGAATATATTTATTGTTTTTCATACATCATTTCAATATACTTGCATCTATATCTTTTCTTCCATTTTGCATGGGGTTGATCATGGTGACACAATGTAGGCATTGATCTTAAAGTATAACAATAGTCATTGTATGGCAACATCTGCGTGATGCTACCGAGAAGTTGATTACACATCGGACCACTGGCGTGTTATCTACTATGATTATATAAAACTGAATATACCCCTCCAACCCCAGATACAGCAGTGGCTGCTGCAGTTTTTTATGTCATCGGAAAACGGACACATTATGAAATATTAACAGAATGAATCCGATAAACTGTTCACAGAACTGCACCATGATCACTTGTTTAATCATGATTGCAGTAGGTTGTGATATAATCATGGTTTGAAAAGGTGAAGAAAATATCTTCACATTTCTCACATCTTGTTTTAACCAGACATATTCAAATCCAAGTCTAAACAGAATATGTTTTATATGAGTAGCCCATATTGTACAGCCAGTGTCGTCCATTAGATACAATTGGCGAGGCAGACAGTGTTCATCCAAATACAGTAGCCTGCACCAATACTTAATATTTAACCCTTGGTGTACTCAAGTCTGAGAGGGGCTCTGACACAGTCTCCCCAAACCATAGCATTGTTTGTTGTTTTACACATTTTATGCTGTACATCTTCAATAATTTTACAATATGGGGTGCTCTACACTTCTGTACCATAACACACTATAGAGACAATAATAGCATCAACTATCTTAAATATAACTTGGCATTGTATATTTCCAACTTTCTTTCAATACCTGTACAATGCCATATTTGCCTCTTTACTCTGTGTACCATGGGTAGTTTGTGCTTTAGTCCAAATAAGTTTAGGTGGTGACACAATATCCAAATATCATAAAAAAGACACAATTTCGAGGCACACCATACAATTTTAATTTTTAAAACAACTCACTGGTCAACAATTTCAGAGAACATTCTCCAAGCAAAATCACTGATTGTGTGTTGAAATATAGGTATGTATGCACTGCTGTAAAATATAAAAAAAGTAAAGCAAAAAGAGTCCATTGCTGCATTTAATCAAACGTGTTACCTGCTATCTGGCTGAATAATTGTTGATATTAAATTATGTATTATTGACATGTATGAAATCTATTCTAATATCACCATGGATATCATGCTCAAAATGATCAATATATAGCAAATGTATACTGTCATACTGGCTTTAAGCCATAAAAACTGCAGTGCTCAGGACAGGTGTCATAAGTAATAATCACAAATAGTGGAATGTATCTGTCTAAAAAAGTTCATCTACAAATATATGTACCTTTATGGCAAGGTATGCATTTTTAGGGTAATGTATTAACATACTGATCATCCTGTGTATTTTTATATATTCAGTTTAGTAAAATAATGTGTCAAATTCATTGTATCGAGCAGTATATCTGTGTGTATTATTGTGTACAGAGAATTTGATTCTCCATGTTTTTTGCAATCATAAACATTTCTGAATAATATTGGTATACCTTTGTCATGTTGTTTTGCAAACCGATTCAGACACTTAATGTGACAACATTCAGATAACTGGGGGGGGGGGTGATATTTGGTTGTTGGGATGGGAATGTGAGAAGGTTGCATGTTTTCTTGTGAGTGTGGGGATGTAGGTTTTGGGGGTGAGGATTTGTTGTTTTGGGGGTGGTGATATTTGGTTGTTGGGATGGAAATGTGAGAAGGTGGGGATGTAGGTTGCTGGGGTGGGGATGTGTGATAATAGTGGTGGGTTTGTATGGTTGTTTGGGCCGGGTATGGTTGCGGGAGTGGGAATGTGCGGTAGGATGTATTGTTGTGGGTGTGGGGATGGGTGTTTGTTCTCACAGGATGCAAGCAATCAGTTATCATCGATGGGGTAAAGTCTGAGAGCAGTGAATTAAGGTATGAAGTGCCACAAGGCTCAGTCCTGGGCCCAATTCTGTTCACTGTATATACCGTACCCGTTGGTGATATAGCCCGAGCCCACAATCTCAGCTATCATCTCTATGCTGATGACACTCAGCTGTATCTCGGATTCAAGCCACAAACTGCATCTTCTGTACAGAATACCCTGCAGACAATAACACATTGCATAGCTGAGATCAAATGTTGGATGAAGGGTAATTTTCTGAAACTGAACGATGACAAAACGGATATTCTCATCATCAGCTCCAAACAGATAAAATAAAAGTTCAAGGTCACTGGAGTTCAAATTGGAGACACGTTTGTTCAACCAGAAAGCCATGCTCGAAATCTAGGTGTCATCTTTGACTCAACATTAAGCACGGAAAATCACGTTGGTAACATCTGCAAATCTGCAAATTTCCACCTAAGGAACATCAGACAGATTAGCAGGTACATGGACACACCATCAGTAAAATGCCTAATCCATGCATTTGAGACATCACGCCTAGACTACTAAAATAGTGTACTCTATGGAACACAACAGCAGTTCATGGACACGATACAGCGTGTTCAAAACACAGCTGCCAGACTCGTAACACGCACACATATGTATGTGCACATAACACCAGTCCTGAAGGATTTACACTGGCTCCCTGTAAAAGACAGCGTTGTATTTAAACTTCTTGTGTTGGTTTACATGTCCATTAATGGGCTTGCTCCAATGTCCAGGGGTGGGGTGTCTGGTTATTGGGGTGGGGATAAGTGGTTGTGGGAATGAGGATGTATGATTGTTGGGAAGGGGGAATGGGTGTGGGGATATGTATGATTGTTAGGGAGGGGTATGGTTGTGTGTGTGTGTGGGGGGATATGCGGACATGTGATGTAGGGTAGGGGGTCTATGCTTGTAGTGGTGTGGATGTCCAGGCGTTATGTGTCTTGTAGGGTTGGGGTGTAATGTTGTGGGATGAGATGTCTGGTTGTGGCGAAGGAACAAAGTGAAGAGAGCTTTGTGAAAGAAAACAACATAATTGCTTAGAGATGATTATTTACCGTACACCAAAGCAATAAAATAAAATTATTGCAGTTTCATTAGGATAACACTGAATATTGAGATGTGCATGTTTTTATAGTCATGACAACACCAAAAACACTATCACCGTCAGTCACCTATAGGATATCGGATCAATACAGAACAATCTCATAGGAGAGAAGGAATGTAACCATAGTTCTGTCAATGACGTATAAAATCCACGTTCATCAATCGCGGCTTCTCACCTTTTTGGTAGTGCTAGTGTCGTTTAAGTTTTTGTTCTCGGTATAATTCAAATGAAATTTATGTTGTACGAAAACTAACGTTGCTATCAAGTTTGATGTTCTATATACGTCTTAGTGGACAGGTAATAGCGGATTCATATATATACTTCAACGCGTGAAAAGGTCAAATAAAATAAAACCGCAGCTACATTAGAATATCAGTAAATTTGCCTTTAAAAAGCGTGTATACTTACGTTTTATTTACACCAAGGTGTGCCCCCATTTCCCGATGGACGCTCTTCAGGCCCAATTTCTCGAAACAAGCTTAAGTCTGAGTTTTGACTTAAGTTAGAGTTTTTACTCAAATTTGAGAAAATGTATTTCCAGGATGAACTGAAATCCATATAAAACTCAAACATAGTAGAGAATTTGAGTTTGGTGGATAGATTACTTAAGTTGTTTGGGTTTTTTTATTTTAAAAATGCAGTTGAGTTTAAAAAATCAGCTGTTTCAAATTGTCAAACTCAGTTTGAAATTTGAGTCAAAACTTAAGTTTGTTTCGAGAAATCGGGGGACACTGGCACATCTGCCTTTTGAGGGATTCTTAGCGGTTCGGATTTGGATTTGAAAAACAGGTTGTCGTTATCCAGAATGAATTTTTCACATTTTCGCCGATTTTTAGACGCCCACTTTGGGTAGTTCCTACTGCTTTTGAAATCTTAGATATGCTTGACTTCTTGTTCTTCCACGTTGATTAAAAGTGTTGAAATGCAATGACTTTTTCAGTGTTATATTCTTGAAATGTGTAACATTTTATACGGACGTGAAACGGCACGATATCAAAGATTTGGATGTTCCCGTCTGGATCTGCGGCAAGACAGGCACAGTCGTCCAACAAATGATTTATTTCGGTCTCACCGTATGTACAGCATTTTGAACAAAACATTTTGATAAAACCATAAATATGTGTACACAAGCCATTCCCCACGGAATTGCGAGAGACCATATTAAAACACAAACACGAATCTATAATTAAGTTATATTGCTAGAAATGTACATAAATAAGTACATGGATAAAAAGCTTATCAACGGTGTTTCAATTGGCTACGCGTACGTTTACAGCGTTCGAAACAGCGAGGGTCATTATTCAACGAGGGTATCTTTTCAATACGTGACCCGGGTTATTTTTCAATAGCAGCCGGGTAATTATTCAATGTTGAAAAAAGACCCAGGGCGTTGAAAAGTGAGTCCGGGTAATAATTCAATGTTGAAAACGTACCCGCCGGGTACCTTTTCAACGCGGGTATGTTTTCAATCTTACACCGGCTCGGTATCCACACCTCTCCTCCAGAGTGTCTGAGATACGACGATGGACGCCTACTGCAGGAAGAGAATCACGCTCAGTTGATAATATCCCTTAGGTTGTTGACATTGACATTCATAGGCGGATCCAGGAATTTTCGTGGGGGTGGGGGATCGGGGGTTTCGAACCCTGAACCCCTCCTCGGCTCCGCCAATGACATTATTAATTGGGTTTTCACCCTGCCCCTCTTTTAGGGCGTATGATGCTCCTCTTACCTGGAACTGATTTTGTCACTGAATTGGTGTTATATAACCGATAAGACGGATGACAGGACATTATGTAGTTAATTTCAATAATACAACATTTAAACCACTTGATATGGAGCACAGTTACACATTCCGTTAGTGCATTAATACCAAGCCTGCTCATACCTGTACATAAAGATTTAAATGTCACAACCCCTGCACCAGATCTTTGATTAACAGGCATTCTAAAGATCAGGAGCAAAATTGGTTTTAGTTTTATCGATAGGGTCAAACAATCTGTTGAGAAATCCAGCACGTGTTTTGATATTGATAAAGTTGCGGCGTTACCAGCAGAGGAATGTTTGCAGTACTGTAGTTTTCCTGCAATATGTGTCTATCGAGCGGTCCTGGAGGAAACACCGTGACGATACAGTCTGACTTCCTGGTATTGCAACAGCTTTTACTGTTGCACTGCATGTGGTCATCGAGGTGTTGAAGCATGTGTCAGGTGTACTACATATGGTTGGCTGTGTGTATGTACAGGGCTGTTCTCTGCCAACACTGTAAGTATGTACTATGATACCCTGTTAACTCCTTTTCTGGACCTATCGTTCACAACTCTGTTTAGGCTCAGGTAGAATTCATATCAGCATTAATGTTTCACATCGTCGCTTCGCTTATCTCGAGCTGGCCACGACTCGTGATTGTTCGATAAATCCCAGAATATGTTACTTGATTGGTCTGAATGATTCATGTTGATCACGGGTTTCACAACGGTGATAAATTTATGGTACCTGCATCACATCCACTCCACTCCACTCCATATTGTTAGGACTTGTTATTCTCAGGCGTTGACGTTGTATATTTCCTCGTACAACACCTCTCTCTCTCTCTCTCTCTCTCTCTCTCTCTCTCTCTCTCTCTCTCTCTCTCTCTCTCTCTCTCTCTCTCTCTCTCTCTCTCTCTCTCTCTCTCTCTCTCTCTCTCCCGTGCTGATTATATCCCATGTGACGATAATGTGTCTCATCATTATGTAATTCAGGTAGAAGTTCCCCATGCGATATCCTGGACATCCTGTTGGGATCCTACCAGAAGGATATCCACCCTCCCTGTGACACACCTGTGGAGATACACCTTGGACTAGCGCTCAGACAAGTCGTTAGTCTGGTAGGGAAAACTGAGCCCGGAACGAATTAACGGCTGATGCCAGTGATTTTGCGCTGGGCGATTTACTGTTATTGTATCTAATACTCTGGTTCCGGTTCATACAGAACATGTCATTTGATGCCAGTATACTTGTACATTAGTGACAGACTCCTTCAACATATCTGTTTGTCTTGTCACTCACCCCTTATAACATAGTGATGGTGATACTGTGAAAATATCTGTTACAGAGCGAGACCAAGCAGATATTGAGCACCAACGTCTGGATGCGTCTTGTGAGTATCTGTTTAGTCACTGCATATTTTTCAAATTATGTTGAGAATTATAATAAAGGTTTGCGTTTTGCCGACACTGCTTTGAAAAACACACAACAATTTAACATTTTCACAGACATGACGATATTGCATATGGTGACATGATGTGACGATACAGTGATATTGCATATGGTGACATGATGTGACGATAGAGCGATATTGCATATGGTGACATGATGTGACGATACAGCGATATTGCATATGGTGACATAATTTGATGATAAAGCGATATTGCACATGGTGCCATGATGTGACCTTACAGCGATATTGTATATGGTGACATGATGTGACGATATAGCGATATCACATATGGTGACATGATGTGATGACACAGCGATATCACATATGGTGACATGACGTGATGACACAGCGATATTGCACATGGTGCCATGATATCACGACATGACGATATTGCATATGGTGACATAATGTGACGATACAGCGATATTGCATATGGTGACATGATGTGACGATACAGCGATATTGCATATGGTGACATGATGTGACGATACAGCGATATTGCATATGGTGACATGATGTGACGATGACATACGATACGATACAGCGATATTGCACATGGTGACATGATGTGACGACATGACGATATTGCATATGGTGACATGATGTGACGATACAGCGATATTGCACATGGTGACATGATGTGACGATACAGCGATATTGCACATGGTGACATGATGTGACGATATAGCGATATTGCACATGGTGACATGATGTGACGATATAGCGATATTGCACATGGTGACATGATGTGACAATACAGCAATACTGCATATATCTATGGGATACTTTGCATCTGACTTGCCACATATTGTGTGGTACCAAAAGCTCACGGGACCTATATCAAAATAGGTATGCCTTAATTAGCATGGTAAGACCTTGAGCTAAAATCTAAATATCTGAATCAATTGCACCAACCATTATTGTCCCCAACAATTTCAAACCATAGGTCAAAATTATGTTTCCACCAAATGTATAACTTCAGCTATAAAGAATACTGAATTAATCTGTCAAAGGTTTAACATATTTGTGTAATTAATTCCTTTTATATCAAAGCAAGCGCAACTAAGCTGAAGTTCACCAATTCACCATCTTCCTGCTATGACCGTTTAACCACCTTGCCAGGTTGGGAGAAAGACAGCAAGTGAACAAACTTCACATTTTCCTTGCGCACATAATTTTAAATTCCAATGAAAAAGTAACACATCTTGAAATAAAAGTCATGGACAAGACAACAGACCTGATTTAGATCTGGCTGCTTTGCATGGGAACTACTGTGGACCCCTGATCCATTCTTGGCTATAAATAAATCATGGACTTGTGAGGAGATAAACCCTATTCCAGATCTTTATACAATTTGTATAATTATATGGGTATCAGCATGAGGCTCATGCACATTACCCCGCTTCACACCTCATTTCACGTTAGCACTGATATAATTTTATCAATACGTGTGTGTGTGCGTGTGTGTGCGCGCGCGCACGTGTGTGTGTGCGTGTGTGTGCGCCATGTCGTGTTATCACCTTATCGTGTCATGTTATAGCATTGCTATTTCTATATCGCAATGTCGCTATGTCATCTCGCGATATCGTAATATTGCGTTTGTCGTGACATCGCATTAAGTTTGCAGATCGATATGACGATGGTCCTTATCAGTCACCATAGAAATCAGGTTGAGAAACCTTGGTTTCATAGAGTAGTGGGACAGATGATTGGCCTCGGCTAACACATAGAGTACTGGGGCGTATGGTTAGGCTGGGCTAACTCATAGATTACTGGGGCGTATGGTTAGGCTGGGCTAACTCATAGAGTACTGGGCGTATGGTTAGGCTGGGCTAACTCATAGAGTACTGGGCGTATGGTTAGGCAGGGCTAACTCATAGAGTACTGGGGCGTATGGTTAGGCTGGAAAGGAAATAATTTAACAGGTGTAATGATAATGTAATGCGCCTGTGAGCCTGCAACAAGTAGTACCATGGATATTATCTACGTTTTAGCTGAAGTTTTTTTATAACAATGACACAGTTGTGTAACTGGACTTACAATAATTTCCGATCTTGATGAGCTACCAGATACATCGGTGTTACGGCAGACATGACTTTAATAATGATATCGACGTATCACTTACAATTTTCTTAATACACAGTGACAGGTCAAGAGTCACGCTCAGGACATGAGCACATGTAATGACTCCAGGACCACCAGTGCTTGGTATTGTAATTTTCCAAGCTAAATTAACATACTTGCGTCAAAACCACCTTATCAGATTCAAGTGTTGACAAAGACGTGAACTGTATTTCGGGTATCAGTAATCACAGGCCTTCACTCAGCAAATGTCAATACATGGACGTGTCAAAAACAAGGTAAATGATGCAGGTTTGAGGAAGAAAAATACGTTGTAAGGGAAAGGTAATGATTATCAGTCCACCTCACCACTTCCTTTAGATAACATTCTAGATGTAATTTTCAGCTTTTCTGAGGAAAAGTCCTCCTTTGTCTTCTCATTTATCTATTAAACACCCACAATAGGTGAACAGGACAAAATGTACTTCTGAACATGTCTAACTGTATGTTTTAGATATATAATTAGGTCATTGATTATAAATATATTCTCTTGCTAATATTCACTTGAAATAATGCCGATAATGCTTGATAATGCCATTGACTCTGATAATGCACATGACACATGACACATTTACCAAGACAAACTCTCTCTATCTTTGTTAATATCATCGTTAGACAGGGCATGAATGACAACCGTTGTTGAAAGGTTTTTTACATGACTGTTATCTGAACTTTTGATGACTGTATCGTCTGTTATCTGAACTTTTGACGACTGTATCGTCTGTTATCTGAACTTTTGACGACTGTATCGTCTCTCGCCCTAGAATTGGACTGATTGTCGACTGGCGTGGAACGTGACCGACATGAATGGCACGGAGACTGTCCACGTTCCCTTCGACCGTATCTGGACCCCGGATGTCACGCTGTACGACGAGTAAGTTGTCCGTCACGTTGTCTTTGTTCTATGGTTATGTTCTAAAATAGAAGCGAGAAGCTCTCTCCACATTCATAAGAAATCCCTGCTATAACAAAGAATGTTCAGTTCGACTATATCATGGTATCATGGGCATGTGTTTATGAATCACTAACACATAGTGATGATACCAGGTGTTCGCGAAACTGTACGTATCCTGTCCCACCGCTGGCACCCGTCACAAACAAATGCAAACTAAGACTGGTCAACTGTTCACCTGAACAAAACAACACAGGAACCTATGATACAAGTCGGGGAACTGCACCTGGGATATTTTTTTTCTGACTTTTAGACAGCTTTACTAAGCCTTTGACCGTTGGATACCTAATCGAACAACTTTTAAGGAAGAGTCGTATGACGCACTTTGAAATCTCTGCAGAAAGAGCATGTTCGATTGGCCAAAATGTGAAATGTTTATTGTCTGGATGTTTTACCCCCAAATGGAGGTGTTATCTTAGAGCAAGTCCAGCATGTCAATCGTTTACAGTACTGAAAAGACCATGGGCCTAAAGTACATTGTTACATACAGTAGTAAGTCCAGTATTTCACAGGCCACGTGTTGTCAATAAACCTCAGATGACAGTTTTGTCATCTCTATATCCTGCACATTCCCGCCTTTTATTTGAATGTAACGACTTTTCCATCTTAAGATACACCGAGCTTCTTTTCTTGAATAATGGCAGTTAATATGAAATGGAGATATTAAACTGGCGTGCTAAACAAACGTTACCACTTTGAAACTGAAATTTTCAAAATTTCAAATTCAGCTGCAATCACCATCACATGAAAACACGTCGCCCAAACGCAACAATGAGTTTTCCTCTTGGAAATAAGGCACGAAATGCATGCTTTTTCACCGATTTGACCAAATATTGTTTGCATGTTTTTCACGCAAAGCGAGAAAAATTAAATGCCAATCGGGTATAAAACCAGTGCAAACGGTTGTCAGACATTCTTTCATTAAACAAAAACACCTCAGACAGGCCACGATCAGGCAGACCTCGAGTCACAACGCCCCAGGAGGACCAGTATCTGCGCACGCTGTATCTCAGGAACTGCTTCCTGACGGAGACATCGGCGGCGCATGACATTGGTCCCGTGTAAGCCGATACACAGTAGCTAGACGACAGTAGCCAGGTCCTATGGAATCCGGGCTTACAGACCATTCCGGGGACGACAGTTGACAGCCGAACATCGTCGACGTAGACTTAGATGGGCCCGGACGGTTCGACTTTTGACAGCGACGTGAGTGGCAGAGGGTGCTATTCTCGGATGAAAGCCGCTTCCCTCTTTTCAGAGCTGACGGAAGATTGCGTGTTTAGTGCCGTCGTGGAGATCTATATCTTGTGGTTATTTCACGATAGGGTTTTTAATCTATAGGGTTTCTTTAGCCCGTCAGTTTATTTTATATTATGCTAATTGTATCGACTGGACATGTCATCCATAACATTGGATAAACTTGTCCCTACTGACTGTTGACACAGATGTGTTTTCTCGGTATTCCAGCACTGCCTTTGGAACGAACATAGCCATGTCTGAGAGGAAGTTCCATAAGTTGACAGTAGGCAGCGATGGCCATGTGTCACAGAAGTTCCCCACTGTTCTCAGCAGTATTTGCGAGGTCGACGCCACCTACTTCCCCTTTGACAAACAGGACTGTCCTCTACAGTTCGGCTTGTGGGTGTATGACGACTCAGTGGTTGTTCTGAACGGCGACATGAAAGGGGACACCTCCTTCTACCTAGAGAACGCTGAATGGCATCTCACGGGGATTGGAGCAGTGACGATACCGTATTTGTTCAACGGTTTAAGCTACAGCACCATAACCTACACTGTGTCCCTACAAAGACGACCAGCCTTCTTCATGGTGACGTTCTTCTTCCCGTGTTTCCTCATCTGTAGTATGTCGATCCTTGGGTTCTTCCTCCCCCCTGCGTCAGGAGAGAAGGTCGGGCTGGAGGTCACCCTGCTGCTGTCCCTGACGGTGTTCCAATTTCTCACACTCGATACGCTTCCACCAAACTCCAAACCACTGCCGCTTATGTGTAAGTCTATTGGATTCTGATTCTAAGTTGTACACATGAATCACACTTTTGACAATATTCTAATGGCTCCTGGTTTAACCTATCAGGCGAATCATCTGGAAACGGAATTTGTAAAACACCTGTTTAACTACGCTATTCCCAATATTCATATTACCAGACATAGCTGAGATCATCGATCACAGTTGCGACATATTTTCAAATTAACTTTTGAAATGTTCGTGCTAGTCATCAAGGCGATAACTGCTTCCAGGTGTTTAGGCCCGGTGACGTAGTAGACTGGTAGTCATCGACTCCATTGTTTACAGGTTGCCGTGATATTGCTGGAATACTGAGACTGCGGAGAAAAACGACATTTACTCACTCACATTTGTTCCCTTTTAGTGAGCGCTTTGAGGTACAGTTTGCCTATTTCAGGTATCTACCTCGTGCTGATCATGCTGCTGGCGAGTGCCTCGTGTGTGCTGGCAGTGGTTGTCCTGAGGGTCCACCTGAAGGGGGAGCAGGGCTGGAAGGTTCCATCTCTGGCACGGTCTCTTCTCATCAACAAGCTGGGCCGGCTACTGCGGGTCAAACGACCACACATCCTCAGGGAACATGCACATGTATGTAGCTCTTGAATCGTGGAACTGCTGCCTGTGCTTATTGTCTTATCACCTTACAAATAAACATTCAATAAAGTATTGAAACATTCAGGTCCTCATTAAAGCCAACATGATTTCTGCTGCAGTTCCTTATTTCGACTTGATCCTACGTTCCTGTGTTTCTACTAAAGGAACAATTGGTCACTACTTGCCTTTCTACGGGTTTGTGATGGGTGGAATAATTGCTAGTCGATAGTGTTTGAACGACACTTGGACATGAATTAGTCCTATTTGTACTCTCTCCACATTTGGCAGAGACTTTGCAATGATATTTCCAACTTAATCAGAATTTTCATCTTTTCACGAACACCTGATATCATCACTAACTAATAATGATTCATAAAGACATGCAAATAATGTAGTCGAAATAGTACAATATACTCGAAAAATGTACTTGTGTACTGATGGATCCTATGATAGGGCTACTTCTACCATTTACATGGTAAGTATAATACTCTCTCAGTAGAGAGGTTGATCGACATATTTCAATCCATTTTAGCGATGGGGCTGATTGGCTTTGTATACAATTTGATTTGCTTAATGTGCCAAATACTCGATGAGCTTGCCAAACCATTATAAACTGACTTGCAGAGTTCATGTCGTTTAATAATTTTAAATCAGAATTTTTACCCGTGAACAGAGTGCGGCTGACACATTTTGTTTTGCCAGGATACTCTAAACCTAACCCCAAGTGTGAGAGAATCGTCCCCTCCAGCAGACATTGACGCGACAGTTTCATCGACTTCCTCTGCAGAGTTCGGAATCTTCTTACAATCATTTGACAGGATCTCAAAGAGTTTGAATCGCCTGCTCAAATACCTGAATGCTGAAAAGGAAGCACATGAATCAGTGGAGTACCAGGACTGGCTCACAATCGCTCTGATCCTGGACCGATTCTTCCTCATCATGTACGCCTCAGTGTCTATCATCACGTTCCTGGTCTTCCTGATTGAACTCACTGCCTGATTCCATGTACAGACAGACGGACAGTTGGTGGTCCCATTGGCAGAGCATAACTTGTGGTTCCATTTACAGACAGTCACACATTTGATGTCCCCATGGTCAGAAGCTGACGTTGTGTATCCATGGTCAACAGCCTGGTGCATTGTTTACTTAAACTGTATATATATGTTGGATGGGTGAATGTGTGTGTGTTATGGATGATGTAATGATATGATTTGCCATTATATAACATTATGACACATATGTTTATGATTTGGAAAGAGAAAATAATTCATTATATTCAAAATCCGTATAGATCATATTTTTTGTATTTTGGATAAAGCAGAGTGAAGGTTTTGTATCTCAATTTTGCCGAGTAGTAAATTTGATTGTCATCACTATAACTATAAAGACTGAAGGTGTTATCTATTTCAACTGGATTAGATTATTCAATTCTTGAAACTGAGGGAGGTCATGGTTCGTGAGTATAAAACCACAGATGAGGAAGACGTTATTTAGCTGCAAGGTTTGGTTGACCATACCTTCTATAGTTGTATGTTATAGTCGTTCTTGTCTTCCTCTTGCACTGTGATTTACCTGCATGTCTGATTCATCTACAAAGCAGGGGATCAGGCTGTTGACTTGTCATTCAAAGACACCATTCATTTTGTTCTTATTTTACCAGACCGAAATGTCTTGGATTATCAGTGAAGAGGAACAAGTTGCTTGTTGTCACATCGATGAGCGAGCGAGTCAGATGGGGGGCAAGCGCTATATAACAAATAATCTGTATAATAAACTATCACGACTCTCGAAATCGTAGGAAAATATCACGAAACAAATCATTTTTAAAATAATATATTTAGATATTGATGTATTCATGTACATTTTCCCAAGTCCCAACAATTCAATGTTTGTTTCCAAGATAAAGGTTGGACAATAGGAGGGAGCTAGGAATACTGTTACAGATCAGCCCGGGGGTGCATGTGTACATGCACTAGTGGTGGGAATCGGTTGAAATTTCATAATCGATTATCGGAACACCACTAGCATGCACCAGCGTTGATGAACAGAACCCGAGATACTGTTCAGCTGGATACGTTGTGCCCCTTGTAAAAAGCTAATCGAAGTTGTCTCCCTTTTATTGTGAAAAACCTCGTGTGGGATCATCAAATGCAGATGTGTTGTGATAAGTGGGATAGACGTAAGGGTCTCTTGATACACATGTCCATCAGTATTTTACAATTTCACTAAATAACGCTGTATTCTAAGACTCTTGTCAGTAACACCTGTTATTGTAGACATCAATCTGTTTTGTGAATGCAGTAGAACACGTCTGGTTCTCAAAGTACGTAAATCCGTTTTTGTGTTACATTAAAGTCGAACACGTCCTGACATCTCTGTGCTGCTGCATATAGCGCGATGTCACAGATTCGCCACAGCTTGTATCAAATGTGTATGAGTTGGTCGGGGGTAGTTTGGTCTTGGATGTCCTCCATGATCTTGTACACCACCGTGTTGTCCCCTTGTCTCTGGGGCTGGGGAACGCCTGCCCGGTGCCTGGGGTTGAAATACACACAAATATATGGCATTGTGACAAAGGTGATTTTACTTGGGTGCTGACGAAGATATGATCGATATTGGTGTTTCTGTACGTGGGACATGTAATATCATGCTGTTTACCTTCTGGTGAGGAATACAGTGACTGCCAACACGCCCACAACACCGACAGCTCCACACACACCAGCCACGACAGGAACAGGGTCGTAACCTGGGAAAACAGAATGTTGAGGAAGTAGTGCGTGGCGGGAACGTTGCTCAGTGCGGTCTTAGGCAACAAACAAACAATTAATTTGTGAGCAGTCTGCGTGAGTATTGTTGACTAAAATGGTGCCCGGGTGCATACCAATAGGAGCGAAGTCTAATGTCAATTCGATGCATATGGTATTACTCCAGCAATATCGTGATGGGTAACACCGGAAATGGGCTTGTACGCATGTAGGGAAACAAGTGGTGACAAGTGAAAGTTCACCTAAGCCCGACTCTTTATGGACAAGCTAGGTACCTGTGGTAACGAGACTTGAACACCTCCCGGTAACACCACAGTCCTGTGCTTGGCTACAGTTGGGACATGGCGCATCACACGTTCCCCCATCACAGCCTGCGAACAAGAGCCCGGTGTTTTACTGAATGCCATTATACACAGTATCACTTCTATCTTGTTATACCGAATCTCTTACGAACGCTAACAGAACGTGAAATACATTTCCCTTCCAGTCATGATTCTATATTCGTTCCTCATAGGGGACAAGACGATCCACGTCCAGAACTGATCACCATGAAATCATCACTGAGGTATGTACGTACATTACTAGCCGCTGTGGTGAAAAAAATAGACAATATATAATTGTTAAATGCAATCATTTCCTTAGTATGTTGCCCTGGGTTTGTTTGGGGTTTGTTTGGGGGGGGGGGCTGAAAGGTTCAGCTTCTTAAAGATACACCGAGTGGGCTAGACTAACAATTAGTCTCTGAAATGAACATATTTTACTGAAAAAAGCTCATAGTAAAAAAAATATATATATTATGAAAAGGAGCCCTGAGACTTTCTTCATTTTCAGAAGCTGAGGAAATCTAGACTTGCCACATTTTCTAGACTTGTGTGGGCTTTCTTGGATATATTTGCTTCAGGGTCTGTACGAGAGATTACGAGTGGGCTTTATCTCCCTCGTAGTGCCAAAAACAGTTTAGTCCAAAACCCTTTTCGATCGAATCTAAACGTAACTAAAATATTTACCTTGGGTACAGTTGTACCCAAACCATCCAGCCTCGCAACCTGAGGGGCATCCTCCATCTGTTTTGTTGCAAGAAGCTCCATCTCTACACTGGCCACAGGATTCTTCGCAGTTGACACCAAAATACCCATCCCGGCACTCTGAAACATAAACGTAGTTTCCCTATTACACACATATTCTATAATTATAGAACTACTAAACGTACAAATGTCAGGTTGATTTCCTGAGACCAGGTCCTCATCTCTTTTCGGTGACAGTACGTATTCATCATTTATCAAAAATTCAAACTCATAGACTTTGTTGATCCTACTGTTGACAAACTTCATTCACTCACTGACAAGTGTTAAGAAAGGTTTGCTATGCTAATGATCATGTTCAACTAAACAAGCATTATCTGCTCGCCATTAAAACGGGTGCGTTTCGTAATGTTTCAAAAACATATCTTTTGATATAGTTAGAATCACACGCATGAATAAACGACATTTTTAATGTTAATGCATAGACTTGTCAGTCACTGAAATATATAGCAGTGAAGATACTGTTCAATAAACATGTTACCTTGGTTACAACTGACGCCAAGCCAGCCGGCCTCGCATCCTGATGTACATCGTCCATCTGATCTGTCACACCCAACTCCATCCAAACAGTGTCCACAGGGTTGCTGGCAGTTGACGCCAAAATACCCCACCGTGCACTCTGAAACATTGACATACCATCCCGTTACATTCAGATACCCGGGCCCAGGGAGAAACATGTAGACAACTGTTACCAATTGCAAGTATGATATACTACTAAAACTTTGCTAAGGATCACAAAAATTCGCAACTTTACTTAAACACCTGTCATTAGCAGGTATTGGTTCCACAAGATGCAGTGACAAACTGAAAACTTGGATCAATGCTTACAATAAACCAATTGACGAAATTACACAGTACTCCAACTGTTCCCCCAAGTGGTGATTATAAATAATAGAGCGTTTCCCGTTCAGTATTGTGTATTATACCTAGGTGAATAATGATTAATCAAACCCCCACCCCCACCACCACCCCCCACCCCACCCCACCATTACGTATTATACTTCAACTATAACCCAATGTGGTATTATAGGTAAATAATGATTAATCGAACTTAATTAGAGATAAACCTACATGGGAAAATCAGAGGTATATAACGAAATTATAATACCTCTAAATTTCATTTAAAACCGAACGCGTAACGTGAGGTTTTAAATAAACAATTTAAAGCTATTATAATTTCGTTCTATACCTCTGATTTTCCAACACAGTAGGTTTATCTCCATTCTACCATGACAATTTTATGAACAATTTCAGGTGGAGCTCTTTCTTTGGTTACGAGTCAGTACGTCAAAATCTCAAGTGGCATCGCCCGAAACGGGGTGATTGGTGGCAAACCGTCAATGACTTACAAACTCCAGATTCAGTAATAACAAATCATGTTTGGTTTTTTCAATGCATCAATCACCAAACATTAACTAATAAGTTGGAAAACATATATCAAATATGTTTAAAAAGCTTGGTTCACATTTGAAAATTCCACCGCAGACCCTTTCCCCACCAGAATAATGGCAACAACCTTATGGCCTTGACCTTTTCTCGCAAGTCATTGTTTACATTTACGTGCAAATTTGGAAAGATGCGACAGGCATAGGCGCCCGACTCTGATATATTTATAAGCATGACCTATATGTATAAGATATAAGGTCATACTTATATATATATCAGAGTCGGGCGCCTATGGCGACAGGAGAGCCTCTGACAGTTTGCGCAAGGTTAACCTGATTGTATGACTGAGATAGTCTTTGATATCTAATTACTGGTACTGGTACAAAATTGAAGAGTAGAGGCGCTTTTGCTGTAACGAGCAGTCCGTGTTGTACCGAATTTAGATACTGTTGAATTTTGCGCCCTGTCAACTTGACGATTTCACGCACCTCTACGTCTGCGTGCGACAGCTGTGGTGACTCTTACACATTCATGTGTGTACTTTGTGCTCAAATTATTTTCTACATTTTGGAAAGTGTTTTGTGACCTAGTGGCTTCAAAGTGTAGTGAATTCAAATTGAATCGGATTCGCTGGCATGTTCGCGAGTCTGTTGACAAAGAGCCAGATTTGTGGTGATATTTCCGAAAGGATGGATCAGGACATGAGGGTGTACCTCTGGCATAAACACGGTAAGGTAATTAATTATACTTTAATAGACTACTTTAGATCAAGCAGTGTAATGGATAAGAGGGATCATGACTAAGCTAAATAACTTTTTCAACGATATTATACTTTTAGAAAAAAGTATGTTGGGCTAAACAGAACGGTTTGCAGATTCTGTAATTGTGTTTTACTACCGCTAAATTTGAAACAGTACAAATTTCAAAACATCATTTTGTTTGAATTGATAACCCAACTGTTTATTTATGTGGACGGAAGGCATTAAAATTTCTTCGGCGTTCGATGTTAATGCATCCTCCGTTACCGGATCAAGATCAGTGGCGATATCGTTGACGAAATCTGATAATAAATTTCACACGGAAATTATGTAGCAGTCTATTGCTGGATCTATTCTGACATAACATAGAATCAACGTAAACATATTTGTTTTTGCTGAATTTTTATTCGGAAAGCAGACGATGTTTTGATCTTGTTCGACTGAATATTTGTTTCCATGCTTTCGAAGTACTTTTGTATGTATAAACACCTATTGCTGTGATTTACGCAAGTAGTGACTCGAGCCCCTCATCGCTAACTCCATCTTTAAAGACATATGTGTAATATCCGACAGCAAAATCGCCGTAATTTATCGATGCATCGGTAGGTTGTTTGGTGTCCGCCATGTTGGTGGGCAGACAAAAATAGTGCATTACCGTAAACCATGTATGATTGCGCACGGAAAATCAGAGACCTGTATAACGGGATTATATACCTCTGAATGACTTTAATTAACCAATCACAATCCAGTGTTTACTGCAGTCATGGTAGAATGTGATTAATCGAAACCCCACCCCGACCCACTGTATAGGTATTACGTATTATACTTCAACTATAACCCAATGTGGTATTATAGGTGAATAATGATTAATCGAACTCCCCCCTCCCCGTACAGTATTACGTATTGTACTTCAGCTATAACCCAATGTGGTATTATAGGTGAATAATGATTAATCGAACTTCCCCCTCCCCTGTACAGTATTACGTATTATACTTCAACTATAACGCAATGTAGTGAATAATGATTAATCGAATGTTCCCCCAGTTCAGTATTATGTATTATACTTCAACTATTACCCAATGTGGTATTATAGGTAAATAATGATTAATCGAACGTTCCCCCAGTTCAGTATTAGGTATTATACTTCAACTATTACACAATGTGGTATTATAGGTAAATAATGATTAATCGAACGTTCCCCCAGTTCAGTATTATGTATTATACTTCAACTATTACACAATGTGGTATTATAGGTAAATAATGATTAATCGAACGTTCCCCCAGTTCAGTATTATGTATTATACTTCAACTATTACACAATGTGGTATTATAGGTAAATAATGATTAATCGAACGTTCCCCCAGTTCAGTATTAAGTATTATACTTCAACTATTACACAATGTGGTATTATAGGTAAATAATGATTAATCGAACGTTCCCCCAGTTCAGTATTAAGTACTATACTTCAGCTATTACCCAATGTGGTATTATAGGTAAATAATGATTAATCGAACGTTCCCCCAGTTCAGTATTATGTATTATACTTCAACTATTACACAATGTGGTATTATAGGTAAATAATGATTAATCGAACGTTCCCCGAGTTCAGTATTATGTATTATACTTCAACTATTACACAATGTGGTATTATAGGTAAATAATGATTAATCGAACGTTCCCCCAGTTCAGTATTATGTATTATACTTCAACTATTACCCAATGTGGTATTATAGGTAAATAATGATTAATCGAACGTTCCCCCAGTTCAGTATTATGTACTATACTTCAGCTATTACACAATGTGGTATTATAGGTAAATAATGATTAATCGAACGTTCCCCCAGTTCAGTATTATGTATTATACTCCAACTATTACACCAATGTGGTATTATAGGTAAATAATGATTAATCAAACGTTCCCCCAGTTCAGTATTATCTACTATACTTCAACTATTACACAATGTGGTATTATAGGTAAATAATGATTAATCGAACGTTCCCCCAGTTCAGTATTAGGTATTATACTTCAACTATTACACAATGTGGTATTATAGGTAAATAATGATTAATCGAACGTCCCCTAGTTGAGTATTATGTACTATACTTCAACTATTACCGAATGTGGTATTATAGGTGATTAATTGGACTTTCCTCCAGCTCAGTGTTATGTTTGATTTTAACATACTCAAACTTTGGTTCGGTGTTACTGGTAATTATTGAACAATGGAACTTTCCTCTAGGACAAACACGCTAAATGTGTCTACAGCTGGAACATGGCGCTTCACACTTTCCCCCGTCACAGCCTGCGAACAACAGCCCAGTGTATTAGCGAATGTGTTCAGGGTTATGTGTGTGTCATTATATCCCATATCTTTACTCACAGATAATTTGTTTTAATATTACAGAATCACTGACGGACGCAAACAGAACGTAATTACATTTCCCTCCCCAAGATCATTCGTTCCGCAAAGGAGACAAGACAATACACGTCCACAACTCACCTTCATGAAATCATCACTGAGGTATGTACGTATATTACTATCCTCTTTGGTGAATAAAACTAAAAAATGAATTAAACATTAAATGCAATCATTTCCTTTAGTATGTGGTTCTGTTTCTTTTTGCTGTGGCATTCAGCCTTTCACAGATACACCGAGTGGGCTTATCTCCACTTTATAATGTAACCGAAATCCCTTTTCGGTGGTAACTAAAATATTTACCTTGGGTACAGTTGTACCCAAACCACCCAGCCTCGCATCCTGAGGGGCATCCTCCATCTGTTTTGTTGCAAGAAGCTCCATCACTACACTGGCCACAGGAATCTTCGCAGTTGACACCAAAATACCCATCCCGGCACTCTGAAACATAAACGTAGTTTCCCTATTACACATGTGTTCTATAATAATAGATTCTACTAAACGAAATACAAATGTCAGGTTGATTTCCTGACACCTGGGCCTAGATTTTCGAAGCTCTCTTGGCACTAAGATCGTCGTACGCTAATGTTAATGTATGGCACTTACGACTATCTTAGGGCTAAGAGAGCTTCGAAAATATAGGCCCAGGCCCTACTCTCTTTTCGGTGACAGTACGTATTCACTTTTATCCACAAAATGTACACGTTTGTCGATTGCTGGTTGGTCAGTTTCCCCGACTCACTAGAAACGATGACAAATTGAAAACATCCATGGAATTATTTGTACGTGAATATACTCATCAGTATCTAAAGTGTTAAGTTTGATAAATTGTATTAAATATCTCACACTTGCTAATCACTAGCATAGAAAACCGTTCGTAACACGTGTGTAATGTGACTGTTTGCTACAGGAACACAGACTTTGTTGATCCTACTGTTGACAAACTTCATTCACTCACTGACAAGTGTTAAGAAAGGTTTGCTATGCTAATGATTATGTTCAACTAAACAAGCATTATCTGCTCGCCATTAAAACGGGTGCGTTTCGTAATGTTTAAAAAAACATATCTTTTGATATAGTTAGAATCACACTCATGAATATACGACATTTTAATGTTAATGCATAGACTCGTCAGTCATTGAAATATATAGCATTGAAGATACTGTTCAATAAACATGTTACCTTGGTTACAACTGACGCCAAGCCAGCCGGCCTCGCATCCTGATGTACATCGTCCATCTGATCTGTCACACCCAACTCCATCCAAACAGTGTCCACAGGGTTGCTGGCAGTTGACGCCAAAATACCCCTCCGTGCACTCTGAAACATTGACATACTATCCCGTTACATTCAGATACCCGGGCCCAGGGAGAAACATGTAGACAACTGTTACCAATTGCAAGTATAATATACTACTAAAACTTTGCTAAGGATCACAAAAATTCGCAACTTTACTTAAACACCTGTCAATAGCAGGTATTGGTTCCACAAGATGCAGTGACAAACTGAAAACTTGGATCAATGCTTACAATAAACCAATTGACGAAATTACACAGTACTCCAACTGTTCCCCCAAGTGGTGATTATAAATAATAGAGCGTTTCCCGTTCAGTATTGTGTATTATACCTAGGTGAATAATGATTAATCGAACTCCCCTCCCCCCCTCCCCCTCCCCCCGTACAGTATTACGTATTATACTTCAACTATAACCCAATGTGGTATTATAGGTAAATAATGATTAATCGAACTTAATTAGGAGATTAACCTACTGTGTGGGAAAATCAGAGGTATATAACGAAATTATAATTATAATTTCAGGTGGAGCTCTTACTTTGGTTACCAGTCAATACGTCAAAATCTCAAGTGGCATCGCCCGAAACGGGGTGATTGGTGGCAAACCGTCAATGACTTACAAACTCCAGATTCAGTAATAACAAATCATGTTTTGTTTTTTCAATGCATCAATCACCAAACATTAACTAATAAGTTGGAAAACATATATCAAATAAGTTTAAAAAGCTTGGTTCACATTTGAAAATTCCACCGCAGACCCTTTCCCCACCAGAATAATGGCAACAACCTCATGGCCTTGACCTTTTCTCGAAAGTCATTGTTTACATTTACGTGCAAATTTGGAAAGATGCGACAGGCATAGGCGCCCGACTCTGATATATTTATAAGTATGACCTATATGTATAAGATATAAGGTCATACTTACATATATATCAGAGTCGGGCGCCTATGGCGACAGGAGAGCCGCTGATAGTTTGCGCAAGGTTAACCTGATTGTATGACTGAGATAGTCTTTGATATCTAATTACTGGTACTGGTACAAAATTGAAGAGTAGAGGCGCTTTTGCTGTAACGAGCAGTCCGTGTTGTACCGAATTTAGATACTGTTGAATTTTGCGCCCTGTCAACTTGACGATTTCACGCACCTCTACGTCTGCGTGCGACAGCTGTGGTGACTCTTACACACTCATGTGTGTACTTTGTGCTCAAATTATTTTCTACATTTTGGAAAGTGTTTTGTGACCTAGTGGCTTCAAAGTGTAGTGAATTCAAATTGAATCGGATTCGCTGGCATGTTCGCGAGTCTGTTGACAAAGAGCCAGATTTGTGGTGATATTTCCGAAAGGATGGATCAGGACATGAGGGTGTACCTCTGGCATAAACACTGTAAGGTAATTAATTATACTTTAATAGACTACTTTAGATCAAGCAGTGTAATGGATAAGAGGGATCATGACTAAGCTAAATAACTTTTTCAACGATATCATACTTTTTGGAAAAAAAGTATGTTGGGCTAAACAGAACGGTTTGCAGATTCTGTAATTGTGTTTTACTACCGCTAAATTTGAAACAGTACAAATTTCAAAATATCATTTTGTTTGAATTGATAACCCAACTGTTTATGTATGTGGACGGAAGGCATTAAAATTTCTTCGGCGTTCGATGTTAATGCATCCTCCGTTACCGGATCAAGATCAGTGGCGATATCGTTGACGAAAGCTGATAATAAATTTCACACGGAAATTATGTAGCAGTCTATTGCTGGATCTATTTTGACATAACACAGAATCCAAGTAAACATATTTGTTTTTGCTGAATTTTTATTCGGAAAGCAGACGATGTTTTGATCTTGTTCGGCTGAATATTTGTTTCCATGCTTTCGAAGTACTTTTGTATGTATAAACACCTATTGCTGTGATTTACGCAAGTAGTGACTCGAGCCCCTCATCGCTAACTCCATCTTTAAAGACATATGTGTAATATCCGACAGCAAAATCGCCGTAATTTATCGATGCATCGGTAGGTTGTTTGGTGTCCGCCATGTTGGTGGGCAGACAAAAATAGTGCATTACCGTAAACCATGTATGATTGCGCACGGAAAATCAGAGACCTGTATAACGGGATTATATACCTCTGAATGACTTTAATTAACCAATCACAATCCAGTGTTTACTGCAGTCATGGTAGAATGGTTAATCGAAACCCACCCCCGACCCACTCTATAGTATTACGTATTATACTTCAACTATAACCCAATGTGGTATTATAGGTGAATAATGATTAATCGAACTCCCCTCCCCGTACAGTATTACGTATTGTACTTCAGTTATAACCCAATGTGGTATTATAGGTGAATAATGATTAATCGAACTTCCCCCTCCCCTGTACAGTATTACGTATTATACTTCAACTATAACGCAATGTGGTGAATAATGATTAATCGAATGTTCCCCCAGTTCAGTATTATGTATTATACTTCAACTATTACCCAATGTGGTATTATAGGTAAATAATGATTAATCGAACGTTCCCCCAGTTGAGTATTATGTATTATACTTCAACTATTACACAATGTGGTATTATAGGTAAATAATGATTAATCGAACGTTCCCCCAGTTGAGTATTATGTATTATACTTCAACTATTACACAATGTGGTATTATAGGTAAATAATGATTAATCGAACGTTCCCCCAGTTGAGTATTTAGGAGATAAACCTACTGTGTGGGAAAATCAGAGGTATATAACGAAATTATAATAGCTCTAAATTTCATTTTAAAACCGAACGTAGCGTGAGGTTTTAAATGATTAATTAGAACTTATTATCAGATTAACTCCTCTGATTTTCAAAAATGAGTTTATCTCCATTCTATGGCAATTTTATGAACAATTTCAGGTGGAGCTCTTTCTTTGGTTACGAGTCAATGCGTGAAGCGGCCTCACATTCAATCTCAAGTGGCATCGCCCGAAACGGGGGTGATTGGTGGCAAACCGTCAATGACTAACAAACTCCATATTCAGTAATAACAAATCACGTTTTGTTTTCAATGCATCAATCACCAATCATTAACTGATAAGTTGGAAAACATATATCAAATAAGTTTAAAAAGCTTGGTTCACATTTGAAAATTCCACCGTAGACCCTTTCCCCACCAGAATAATGGCAGCAACCTCATGGCCTTGACCTTTTCTCGGAAGTCATTGTTTACATTTACGTTTCAAATTTGCAAATTTGGAAATTTATAAGATGCTACAGGAGAGCCTCTGACAGTTTGCGCAAGGTTAACCTGATTGTATGACTGAGATAGTCTTTGATATCTAATTACTGGTACTGGTACAAAATTTAAGAGTAGAGGCGCTTTTGCTGTAACGAGAAGTCCGTGTTGTACCGAATTTAGATACTGTTGAATTTTGCGCCCTGTCAACTTGACGATTTCACGCACCTCTACGTCTGCGTGCGACAGCTGTGGTGACTCTTACACTCATGTGTGTACTTTGTGCTCAAATTCGATTCTACGGATATTATTTTCTACATTTTGGAAAGTGTTTTGTGACCTAGTGGCTTCAAAGTGTAGTGAATTCAAATTGAATCGGATTCGCTGGCATGTTCGCGAGTCTGTTGACAAAGAGCCAGATTTGTGGTGATATTTCCGAAAGGATGGATCAGGACATGAGGGTGTACCTCTGGCAAACACACGGTAAGGTAATTAATTATACTTTAATAGACTACTTTAGATCAAGCAGTGTAATGGATAAGAGGGATCATGACTAAGCTAAATAACTTTTTCAACGATATTATCATTTTGTTTGAATTGATAACCCAACTGTTTATTTATGTGGACGGAAAGCATTAAATTTTCTTCGGCGTTCGATGTTAATGCATCCTCCGGTACCGGATCAAGATCAGTGGCGATATCGTTGACGAAAGCTGATAATTAATTTAACACGGAAATTAGCAGTCTGACATAACATAGAATCCACGTAAACATATTTGTTTTTGCTGAATTTTTATTCGGAGAGCAGACGATGTTTTGATCTTGTTCGACTGAATATTTGTTTCCATGCTTTCGAAGTACTTTTGTATGTATAAACACCTATTGCTGTGATTTACGCAAGTAGTGAGTCGAGCCCGTCATCGCTAAATCCATCTTTAAGACATGTGTAATTTCCGACAGCAAAATCGCCGTAATTTATCGATGCATCGGAAGGTTGTTTGGTGTCCGCCATGTTGGTGGGCAGACAAAAATAGTGCATTACCGTAAACCATGTATGATTGCGCAAGGGAAACAGAGACCTGTATAACGTGATTATATACCTCTGAATGACTTTAATTAACCAATCACAATCCAGTGTTTACTGAAGTCATGGTAGAATATGTATTATACTTCAACTATTACACAATGTGGTATTATAGGTAAATAATGATTAATCGAACGTTCCCCCAGTTCAGTATTATGTATTATACTTCAACTATTACACAATGTGGTATTATAGGTAAATAATGATTAATCGAACGTTCCCCCAGTTCAGTATTATGTATTATACTTCAACTATTACACAATGTGGTATTATAGGTAAATAATGATTAATCGAACGTTCCCCCAGTTCAGTATTAAGTACTATACTTCAACTATTACACAATGTGGTATTATAGGTAAATAATGATTAATCAAACGTTCCCCCAGTTCAGTATTATCTACTATACTTCAACTATTACCGAATGTGGTATTATAGGTAAATAATGATTAATCGAACGTTCCCCCAGTTCAGTATTAAGTACTATACTTCATCTATTACCGAATGTGGTATTATAGGTAAATAATGATTAATCGAACGTTCCCCCAGTTCAGTATTATGTATTATACTTCAACTATTACCCAATGTGGTATTATAGGTAAATAATGATTATCCGAACGTTCCCCCAGTTCAGTATTATGTATTATACTTCAACTATTACCCAATGTGGTATTATAGGTAAATAATGATTAATCGAACGTTCCCCCAGTTCAGTATTATGTATTATACTTCAACTATTACCCAATGTGGTATTATAGGTAAATAATGATTAATCGAACGTTCCCCCAGTTCAGTATTATGTATTATACTTCAACTATTACACAATGTGGTATTATAGGTAAATAATGATTAATCGAACGTTCCCCCAGTTCAGTATTAAGTAATATACTTCAGCTATTACCCAATGTGGTATTATAGGTAAATAATGATTAATCGAACGTTCCCCAAGTTCAGTATTATGTATTATACTTCAACTATTACACAATGTGGTATTATAGGTAAATAATGATTAATCGAACGTTCCCCCAGTTGAGTATTATGTATTATACTTCAACTATTACACAATGTGGTATTATAGGTAAATAATGATTAATCGAACGTTCCCCCAGTTCAGTATTATGTATTATACTCCAACTATTACCCAATGTGGTATTATAGGTAAATAATGATTAATCAAACGTTCCCCCAGTTCAGTATTATCTACTATACTTCAACTATTACACAATGTGGTATTATAGGTAAATAATGATTAATCGAACGTTCCCCCAGTTCAGTATTATGTATTATACTTCAACTATTACACAATGTGGTATTATAGGTAAATAATGATTAATCGAACGTTCCCCCAGTTCAGTATTAGGTATTATACTTCAACTATTACCCAATGTGGTATTATAGGTAAAAAATGATTAATCGAACGTTTCCCCAGTTCAGTATTATGTGCTATACTTCAGCTATTACCGAATGTGGTATTATAGGTAAATAATGATTAATCGAACGTTCCCCCAGTTCAGTATTATGTATTATACTTCAACTATTACCCAATGTGGTATTATAGGTAAATAATGATTAATCGAACGTTCCCCCAGTTCAGTATTATGTATTATACTTCAACTATTACACAGTGTGGTATTATAGGTAAATAATGATTAATCGAACGTCCCCTAGTTGAGTATTATGTACTATACTTCAACTATTACCGAATGTGGTATTATAGGTGATTAATTGGACTTTCCTCCAGCTGAGTGTTATGTTTGATTTTAACATACTCAAACTTTGGTTCGGTGTTACTGGTAATTATTGAACAATGGAACTTTCCTCTAGGACAAACACGCTAAATGTGTCTACAGCTGGAACATGGCGCTTCACACTTTCCCCCGTCACGGCCTGCGAACAACAGCCCAGTGTATTAGCGAATGTGTTCAGGGTTATGTGTGTGTCATTATATCCCATATCTTTACTCACAGATAATTTGTTTTAATATTACAGAATCACTGACGGACGCAAACAGAACGTAATTACATTTCCTTCCCCAAGATCATTCGTTCCGCAAAGGAGACAAGACAATACACGTCCACAACTCACCTTCATGAAATCATCACTGAGGTATGTACGTATATTACTATCCTCTTTGGTGAATAAAACTAAAAAATGAATTAAACATTAAATGCAATCATTTCCTTTAGTATGTGGTTCTGTTTCTTTTTGCTGTGGCATTCAGCCTTTCACAGATACACCGAGTGGGCTTATCTCCACTTTATAATGTAGCCGAAATCCCTTTTCGGTGGTAACTAAAATATTTACCTTGGGTACAGTTGTACCCAAACCACCCAGCCTCGCATCCTGAGGGGCATCCTCCATCTGTTTTGTTGCAAGAAGCTCCATCACTACACTGGCCACAGGAATCTTCGCAGTTGACACCAAAATACCCATCCCGGCACTCTGAAACAAACGTAGTTTCCCTATTACACATGTGTTCTATAATAATAGATTCTACTAAACGAAATACAAATGTCAGGTTGATTTCCTGACACCTGGGCCTAGATTTTCGAAGCTCTCTTGGCACTAAGATTGTCGTACGCTAATGTTAATGTATGGCACTTACGACTATCTTAGGGCTAAGAGAGCTTCGAAAATATAGGCCCAGGCCCTACTCTCTTTTCGGTGACAGTACGTATTCACTTTTATCCACAAAATGTACACGTTTGTCGATTGCTGGTTGGTCAGTTTCCCTGACTCACTAGAAACGATGACAAATTGAAAACATCCATGGAATTATGTGTACGTGAATATACTCATCAGTATCTAAAGTGTTAAGTTTGATAAATTGTATTAAATATCTCACACTTGCTAATCATTAGCATAGAAAACCGTTCGTAACACGTGTGTAATGTGACTGTTTGCTACAGGAACACAGACTTTGTTGATCCTACTGTTGACAAACTTCATTCACTCACTGACAAGTGTTAAGAAAGGTTTGCTATGCTAATGATTATGTTCAACTAAACAAGCATTATCTGCTCGCCATTAAAACGGGTGCGTTTCGTAATGTTTAAAAAAACATATCTTTTGATATAGTTAGAATCACACTCATGAATATACGACATTTTAATGTTAATGCATAGACTCGTCAGTCACTGAAATATATAGCATTGAAGATACTGTTCAATAAACATGTTACCTTGGTTACAACTGACGCCAAGCCAGCCGGCCTCGCATCCTGATGTACATCGTCCATCTGATCTGTCACACCCAACTCCATCCAAACAGTGTCCACAGGGTTGCTGGCAGTTGACGCTAAAATACCCCTCCGTGCACTCTGAAACATTGACATACTATCCCGTTACATTCAGATACCCGGGCCCAGGGAGAAACATGTAGACAACTGTTACCAACAATTCCCCAATGCAGTATTATGTTTATTCCATGTTTATTTAATATTAGTCCATATTGGTAAGCGTATCAATGTTACATTTCCGGTACATATAAATTCGGTATGAGCTCTGACTGGCACACGCATGCACGCACGCACGCACAAATGCACAGGCGCACGCATATATGCATGCCCTCAGCTATATAGTGCAAGAAGCTTGGATGCATTGCGACCCTAATCCAGCTGAAAGCCAAAACCACAATCCGAATGCAACTACATTGGCTACACACGCACGCACACGCACCCACACACATGACGCAACACCCCACCTCGACCCCCACCCACCCACCTACTCACTAGACCCCCATGTAGAGTCAGAACGTACTGTTGGGGTTGTTGAAGACTCGGATACTCCGGTATGCTGACATCCCAGGTGGTATTGGGTAAGACACCATACTCCCTCCAGTTATCGGCACGGACAGAAAGACGTTCCTCAATAACAGAGACACAGTATTATTACGTGGTGACGCTCTAACGCATTCGTTTGTCACTATACGCACTGTTATTGCTTGTACAGTGGCATTCATGGAATGATTGATAGAAGGAAGGATGGATGGATGCTGAGATAGATATTTAGATTCTAAGATACAGAGGGTTTTAATATACACATGAGCTTTGATCAAGCACCACCCACGTTTTTTTATAAAAGTACGGTAACACTATATGTTGCTGTATACGAAAAGCACATGCTCAAAATTGAAATTATGTAACAATATACTTTCAGTCTGAGTGGAATACATACAAAATGTGAATATCACTACCGAAGGAAGGTATGTATGGTCAGCATGACTACGCCATGATTTTCATGGTCAAAACAATTCTCAAATACTGATTGTGTGAATTTCTGAACAGGAAGATCTCCAGCTCGAAGATAGTTGTCAAGACGTTCGACGGGGTTCATATCGGGCCATGGTAATGTTTCCATGGAGTTGTTCTGTAAATAGGCGATGGCGGTTAGAGAACAGTTTGGTTGCAATCCATCAATATCGGAAGACCGACAAAGGAATGGTTATCGGAATGTTTTACGACGGCTGTATCAAGTATTTCCTTGTGAAAACGTTGCCCTTTAATGAGATCCAATTTGCAGGCATACATCACTGATCAACCGCGAAAGAGTTAGGTTGCATGGTTCATCCCCTGGTCATATGCCTCGTTACGACGTCTACAACAGCGACAACAGCCATCAATAACCTATAGAAGTTAGCGACTTTCACCAGACCAATGGACCATACGCCATGTCCTCAAGATGAGGTTTTCTCGGAGCCTACACCCCTCCAGAACAGCAGCCAGCAGCCATCTCTTGATGGTACTGGTAGAAAGTCTGTCTGTCTTCGACATTGGGCATGTGATTGCGTCTTGTCTCGGTCTTCACGGTCATTGTTCTTCGTCGATCTTGGACGATCTTTTACTTCACCGGTGGCCACGCGCTTTATCACAACTCGCCAAATACCTGTGTGCTAAACGTTCACGTTAGCCCCGATACGGCGATAGGACATCTCTGCGTCATGCATGCCAGTGCCTTGTAATCGTTAAAGTCAAGCTCTTGTTATGTCAAGAAATGATAACATGTTAGGACTGCAGTCTTATAAATCAGTTTAAAAAACTGTAGCGTACATAGTTAAACTGCAATCATGACATTTATACCCCAATAAGACTGGCTCCTTCGCATAGCCCTGGCGATAGTGTGTACAGTTCGGGGTATAAATGTACATTCCAGTATGCTGTTGTGTCATAACCTGTTTGGACAAACCGAATTAAATTCCCTGGCTATAAATGCATCAATTTTAAGATAGTCAGGTACTGAGGTATGTGGTAAAGAAGATGGTACTAAGAGGTAGATGGATATGTTTTACACCAAATTCCAAAGGAACAGTCAAAACAACACGTATCGGTACATAAAGTGTCTGGAAAATAGCTGTTTTATATATTCCTTACCTTTGTCTAAGGTCGATTAGGTAGAAGTTCTGGTTGAGCAAGTCAAATGAAAAGAAATCAGAACGCCCGCCATACGGTATAGATCTCACTGTTGTTTGGTTTAGTTGAATGACCTTGATTTCACTCCGAGATCTGTGCTCATCAACCCAATACAGATTTTCACCTGAATGACAGAAAAGTGTGTTTTCGTGACGTAAGCTAAGATGAATTAACCATGTTAATGTTGCAGACTTAACAAGAAATATATGTGTAACATGTACATTATTTCTTACTGAATCGAACAGAGGGGGGCAGAAGTTTATTTATCTTCATCTGATACATTTTCCTATCTTTATCTGTTACACGTATTTATATATTTATACGTTGCCACGTGACATATATCCATTCCCGATTTCAAATACAACCAGATAAGAAGATCACTTTTGGCCTTCAACAAATGCATTGAAAATAACTCATTCTCTCTATATAAGTGTAACTCATTCTCTCTATATAAGTGTAACAGTAGTGATATCATGTCGATTTTTAAGCGACGGGAAATCCCGACGAGAGTCGTGCTGTTTATTGCCCTTTCAGTTAAACACAAAGGCTCATGTTCGTTCTCAGCTATTCATAGCAGATAACAGTGAGTAAACCGTCTGTGGCCAATATAACATCCTCGCAAAATGACCTCATCATGTTTGACTGACAATCCGAGCAGGTATAACCTACTGTTGGTTTACATTCATGAAGTTTATTGATTCCTAGCTTGGTGTCCCACCATTGCTGCACAAGCTCACAAGTATACCTTTGGTAGTTGCTTGAAACCGCTGTCCGGGATAATCAGTGGCGATAACGGTTTGTCAAGAGCCATGCCTACCTGACTCGGATACCAACAAATGTAACACTGGACTGTAGAAACATCGTTACAACGTTATAAAATGTCCAGAATGATAGGATGGATGAAAGTGTGACATTAAATGGTCTATTGGCAGGACAAGTAATCTGAAAGATGATGATATTGTTAGAATGGTTTATATTCCCCAATGAGGTGAATTGTCTCCTCATTGCCCGTTAGAGTTATTGGTGTGTGTTGGTGTGGCTACTACAGTACTATGGAACTAATACCTGTACTGTCTACAACTAGACATGTTGGGGTGACGATTCCACCTCTTGCATGTATTAAAGTCAACCTGTTTCCGCCATCGTAGTTCGACATCTCAATCTTGGGGTTCTGACCTACATCTGACCAGAACACTTTGCTGTAAAGTAATGAAACTATCAGTGAGAACAGAAATGGGTATCAGGCGTAACGTCACCCCTCTCACATCAATTTCCCCATGGTCATGCCCCTCCCTCTTTAACTATACTGTGTCAAAATAAAAACTTCACAATTCACATTTGTAAATAAAAATATGAATTGTTATAGTGGACAGTTTTCGACTGTCATAATATTAACCCCCAGGTATCGACTCTCCACAGCAGATTAAAGTCAATCCAAACATCGTGCACACCACAATAGTGCTATAAAGTGTTTTTCGCGTGCCACTGGTCACGTGATCTTATCACTGCAGGTGCATTCGCTCGCACATGTTCCCATCAACTGTGTGTGCAGCGTGAACGTGCCGTTGGCATGCTGGAAGCGGGAACGTCAGTAAGTGAGGTTGCAAGGACAATGAAGTGAAGCCGTCTGACTGTTTCTGATATACAGACTGGATTGCAACAAACTTACACCACTACTGATCGCCCTTGACCAGCTCAACCACGTGTGACGTCACAGGCGTCACCGTCAAATTGTGTTACGTCACCTCCGTAACCGTTTTTTGACGGCTACAGGAACCAGAAATGACCTGTTTAGGGGTCGATTGTCGGCACAAACCATCCGAAACCGGCAGCGAGCTGCTCACCTTCGTGCTCAACGACCATATCGCGAATCTATTTTGACGTCACTACTGCGACGTCAGCGTTTACTGTGGGCCCCGACGACACTTCCGATGAACTCAGAGAGACTGGAATCGAGTTGTCATCAGTGGTGAATCAAGATTTACCCTCAGATTCAGTGATGGTAAGATGAGAGTGGGGAGGCGACGCCGTGAACTTTATGTTCATTGTTGTGTACAGGAAGTTGACAGATTTGGGTCGAAAGTGTCATGGTTTGGGGTGCTTTCTGTGGGATTGCCCGTTCCCGACTTCTGGTTATCCGTGGGAACCTTAATGCTGCAGGTTACCGCGACCAGGTGCTAGTCCAAGAACTTAAACCATTCTTGGCAGCACATGGTCCAGGTCTGCACTTTCAATATGACAATCCCCATACAGCCATCTTGACCAGGAATTACATGCAGAACGCAGGAATCAACGCTCTTGACTGGCCGTCAAGGTCACCTGATCTTAATCCAGTCGAGCACATCTGGGATGCTCTTGGTAGACGTCTGCACACTTTCAGAAACCAACCCCGGAATTTGTGATGACACGGGTGCTGCTCTCTTCAATGTTTATACTGGGCAGGTTCCATCTCACAAGTTTGAATACATTAGATAACTCACCAGCTTTTCCTTGTTGTTGGAAAGTCTAGATATCGCAGGGTATCGACATTACAAACAATGCACTCTCTCGACTTCGATTTCATTTGCGTCCGGATACAGCATTATATAACATAATTCGTGACACGACAGGCGTGGAGCAAATATCATGACTATCTGATCGTGCTTCGTGTTTAAGTCGAGATCATACAATCGGCGCGGATGATTTTGGAAAGAGTTTTGTCAGTATATTCAAGTGACGCATTAAAATATATAGTCTAGTAATTCATGAAAAATCATACACAATAGAAAACTAAACAAAGGGGCCACAGCTGAGACATCATGGGAGGTTCAAACTCGATTTTGTCACCGCAGATGCACAAATAAAGCGTCGGTCAGTTATACATGTTGAGGGAGAGTTTTTGGTGTAACGTCGGTCAGTTATACATGTTGAAGGAGAGTGTTCGGTGTAACGTCGGTCAGTTATACATGTTGAGGGAGAGTGTTCGGTGTAACGTACGCGTCCGTCAGTTATACATGTTGAGGGAGAGTTTTTGGTGTAACGTGGGTCAGTTATACATGTTGAGGGAGAGTTTTTGGTGTAACGTCGGTCAGTTATACATGTTGAGGGAGAGTGTTCGGTGTAACGTCGGTCAGTTATACATGTTGAGGGAGAGTGTTCGGTGTAACGTCGGTCAGTTATACATGTTGAGGGAGAGTGTTCGGTGTAACGTCGGTCAGTTATACATGTTGAGGGAGAGTGTTCGGTGTAACGTCGGTCAGTTATACATGTTGAAGGAGAGTGTTCGGTGTAACGTCGGTCAGTTATACATGTTGAGGGAGAGTTTTGGGTGTAACGTCGGTCAGTTATACATGTTGAATTAGACTGTTCGGTGTAACGTCGGTCAGTTATACATGTTGAGGGAGAGTGTTCGGTGTAACGCACTTCGTTGTTTTGTAATTACGTTAGTGTCAGTTATCCTCAGATGCCTGAATATAAATACGCTGTGTCAATGGTTGGCTCTAGAACTGGCCAATATACAGTCTTATATTCTAATAATCCCTATCATTCGCAAACACCTGGTGTCTTCTGTGATTCGTACGGTTTGGTAACTATTTAAGTGTCGCACCAATTCGTTTTGTTATTTTCCTTCCTTGTGCCAATTACACGAACGTTAAAAAATTTGATATTTGTTTATCGTGAGAAATCCTTCTATTGGCCATATTTTCTTCTTTTGTGATAGTTGGTCTGGATGGTAAATGGAGTCCCAAGTGATGCATTTGATCTGCTAGGTCATGAACAATATTTGTGAAACTATCCCACAACTAAACTGCTTGTCAAACGAAACAGGTTTTGTGTTGGTAAAAGAGCACCAATGATATCAGACTGGGATTGATAATCAGTACAGGGCCTACCGATTGACGTCATCAACAGAGACAGCATGTGCTCTGCCCAGATTGGACCGTATGATCACAATGTCCTTGCTCGTCTTCAGGTCATACTTCCGTATGACGTCCGTGATGTCGTCACTGTAGAACAGCAGTCTAGATTCAAGAGCTATCACCAGTCCTTGGCATTCTGAAACAAAGGTCCTTTGGGCAATGATTCTAAAGAATACAATGTATACAGGTATTTATGTAAAGATCTTATCTCTATTTTTTGGTAGTACGAAGAAAGATAATCAGCCATGGTAATTAACAGAAACAATCCGATACCTCATTCATTGCACTATTAGGGTTTACCTCGACATGATATACACCCAGATCTGTTTTCGCAGGTATCGTCGATCACACACCAAATCTGTTTCAACGACTTTTGGGTATCCGAGATTCGTTTTTGTTGAAACGACATACGACTGGTTTTGTGTCATCGACATTTTATGTAATTTGTCATAACGCTATAACATTTACAATTGCATGCTAGTTATACAGTCTGAAATAATCCCACATGGGTACAATGTGTGAAGCCCATTTCTGGTGTCCCCCGCCGTGATGTAGCTGGAATATTGATAAAAGCGGCGTAAAACCAAACTCAGTCAGTCAGTCAGTCAGTCTGAAATAATCTTACTTCCCACTTCCAAAACTGTAGTATGGTGTCCGTCTTTGAGGTCGACTCTCTGAATATTTTTCCTTACAAGATTAGACCAGTACACATGCTCCATCACTGGATCATAGGCAACATCCTCAACACCACGTACATCGCGGTACACGACGCTGACGTTTCTAGAGATAGTGTTCACTTTGTAGATGGGGCCATTGTAGTCGGTGATTAGCGCCATGACATCAGCTTGACAGTCTGTCATGATATAAACGTTCAGTTCAGATAATATGTACACAGTGTGTGTAAACAAAAAACAGTCTACACTTGTATGAACTAACGAAATATGTTCCGAATGGGATATTTCATCGTTTACTATGAACGTTGTGTAATCGTCTGCTTTCTTCCAATAGAGTCGAGATGTCTTTGCGATGATTCAGGCGGCAAACAGTTGTATTAGAAGATCATCTATATGCATGAATAGTGTCCCTATGATATTTAGAGACAGTGTTTCAGGGCTAACGGAAAGACTTGGTTATAAGCAAGGCTATAACCTTTAATGGATATAGTCTAAGTGATTGCATCCTTGCCACACTGTACAATATAATATGTACATTACAGATATAAAACATGACCTGCATGCACCTAGGCATGACCCCCGCCAACTTACCTACAATACAATATACCTTACCTGTTATTACAGTGTTCATAACAATAAATCCACAGAGTGTACCAAAGCAACTATATCCCTTCATGTTCAGGATACACACAAGGCGGGTGTTTATACAATGCCGAGTCTTCTAGAACCAGGAGGGAGGTATTTAAGGGCATTAATAGTCAGCGGAAATATTAAGGTTTTGTTATCCAAAATGGCCCACGTTCCACCCTAACCCTCATGGGATGTTTCTGCGTAATGACAGAATGAAATTGTATACTCTAGCTCTCCTTCACATTAACATGGGTCTGTGTTCAAGAACGATGACGCCGAGAGCACCATGTCCAACGATATGTCTACTTGTACGATCTAAAGTGGCACTTGACACGTACTATGGTAGGGGACACGTCAATATCTGCATTACACATATTGCACTACACAGCAGTTTTACAAACGTTTGTTCGAGACAGTGATCATCTATTAATGTAACAATAGGATATCGAATAATATTTAAACATATTAAAGCATATCTAACTTTTGAACAAGATGGTAAATACCGATCGAAAGAAACGACATTTTAAGATAGAAAGCATCCTGAGGTAATCCGTTTTGACGCACATCTGTTTCAGAGCACTGACCAATCCCCACATATCCTATGTAAATAGAAGTCCTAAGGTAAAACTATATAGGTATACTTGTCGGAGATGCTTTCAGTCATCCTCACTACTCTCTCCTCCTCGTATGCCGTAAAGTTTTGGTAAAGTTGAAACTAATTTGAAAGTTAAGTGTTCAGGTTGACATTTCAACTATTTTCACTGAAGTTGAAAACAAAGGCGCAGTAGTTGTTTCGAGCAGAGGTGGCTGGGATTTGGTCATGCACGTAACCCTGGTGCTGGATGATGCGTCTCCGCCTATGTACAAGTAAGGTCTTGTAGAGGCATGTGCGTGTGCGTGTGCGCGTGCGTGCGTGTGTGTGTGTCAAAATTATCATATCAATGTTCCATTTATCAATTTATCCATGAGAAAAGATTTAGGGTTGTATGAACCATTGAATAGATAAAACCCGGCCATGTTCCGTTATGTTTACCGTTAACACATATTGGCATACCTGTGTACTATGTCTTCACACTGATTCTGTATATATTATATGTACATGTATTGATATCATTCTAATATAGAATACAAGAACCAACCACATTGTGTTCTCAAATTGGCATCCGACTGATACAATAACACAGAGAGTAGACTCGCCTTCCCCGAGAAATACTTCTTACATGGAATGTGGACCTCAAGTTAGAAACAAAGGCAGATTGCTATGAAACGTTTTGGTTTGCGATTTCTTCGCCATACTTGGGGACTGTTAATGTTCTGTGCTGTACGTTCATCTTCATGCTAACTGCATAGGGTAAACAGCACATGAAAACTGTAACACAAATATCATTGAATACTTCACTGAATACAAACTCATTAATAGTCTTGTTGACATACCAGAGTAGTTCAAATCCATGCTTTGACCTTTTAGTGTTCTTTATCTTTTCCCCAGTAATGCAAAGTTGATTAAACTTTCAAATTTCAAAGGTTTGTGAACAAATGCACTGTGGCATGCTGTTATACTCCTCCTTCCAACCTAGATGCGACAAAATAATCATAACCCATCGCTGTCACATGTCATGCTCTTCTCTGTCAGCTCCCACCCAAATGTCACTGCCCGACTCCCTATAAAACATTAGCAGCCCCTCAGTTTATCTTCTTTTTCAAATGAAACCATGTTAAAATAGTGATATTTTATCCAAACTATTGAATGGGCTGGCGCTTAGTCAGCACTCAAAGAATGCTTCGATATAATTATATTTTATAATGTTAAATTTGATTAAAAACCTCTAAGAATTAAAAAAAACCATTTTGTATAATTGATTTATATGATTGATATTTATGCCGTCTTATCATCCAGTAATACACGTTTTTGGGCATGAAAATTGCAGTATTTCAAACATGGTACGGGCCAAATTGTTGCAACATCTTGTCTAAAACCAGTCCTCATCGTACCTTGTACCAATGATAAGATTACATTTAACAAACTGGAATGTGTCGTGATTGAATAGACAGAATCAAAGTTTACAACAGTTGTTTGATTTTTAAAATACGTAACACAAACCATAAGAGACTTTCTGTTTCCCTTCAGTTAGCATCACATGAAGCCATTTGACTAAAAGGAGACTGCAATACATATAGGTATCAGCAATATGTCTGTTCTCCTGAGGATGGGATATATATACTGGACAAAATTGTTAAGGATATATCGAGGGGTTAGTGCCAGAACACCTTAAGTAAATAATTCCGTCAAATTTAGGTAAGGGTATTAATGCACTCACATACTGATATGTTACTCATAAAAAAGCCCATAGCAATCAGGGGCTTAATTAGGTGGTTATGCATTAGAGTTCAAACAACTTATCAATTATCTCTCCTTTTGGTATAGACCAGGTTATGCTATGTTAATATACACCGTTCAGTCCTGCTCAACTGCTGTAGCCACGCTTGATATTCTCATGCCATAAACCCATAACTGGCAACAGTCGCCTCTGGCAGACTGTGTGTGGTGTCCATCAAGAATTTCCCTTACCGGTTAAAACAACTGATATGCTGAAGGAATGTTCTGGCTCTTTAGACTTACAGCTGATAAGGACCTCTCTCCGGATCAGATGGTCTTAATTACTGTTATTCTGTTGTGACCATATATAAGCGTGCCTCTCCCAGCTGTTTACAGGGTTTGTTTCACACTAACCAAGGTTAGTTTATTTTGAACCTTAGGAGAAGAGCTATTTTCTAAAGTGTGCGTTTATATTAGGAACATTTACAGTACGGAAATCCCACTAAGACATTACAGGTAAGTCATATCTGTAAATAGAAAATAAGTACTTGTTAAATATAACACACATGAGTGTGGTAATATACTTGTATTTCACTTACGAGATTTGCTGTCTGTATAAAATTTATTTGCCAGCACTAATTAAAATTGAAACTAAATTGCTTTGATTATTGAGTGTTAGTGTTATCAAATTCAGTGTGTGATATTAGCCAGTCCCTTAGTTTAGTACTCTGGTTTTAGGTCTATGCAAGATGTCTGAATTATGGTCCGACGCAGATGAAGATGAATTATTACAATCTGACTTTGCCACAGCCACAAGTTGGTCACTTGCCACTAATATGTCTGTCAATTCTGATTATATTCAACATGAACCAAACCCATGTGGGGAGTGGCTGGATGCCCAGCACAATCTGATAAACTATCGGATATGCCAATACAGTATGACGCAAATGATGAAGAGGATGAGTCAGTGGATATACCAGCACCAGATCATACCACTGAGGATAATCAAACCCAGTTTGTATCAATACAGCTGATGGATACTACGCCCAGATGTTTACCACAGCAGTGTGCAATACCTGTACAGAGTGATGCGCCTGCAGACATACCAGTACAGAGTGATGCGCCTGCAGACATACCAGTACAGAGTGATGCGCCTGCAGACATACCAGTACAGAGTGATGCGCCTGCAAACATACTTGTACAGAGTAATGATACTACAGACACAATAGTAAAGAGTGATGCACATATAGACATACAAGTGCAGTCTGATGCGCCTATAGACATACAAATGCAGTCTGATGCGCCTATAGACATACAATTACAGTCTGATGCGCCTATAGACATACAATTGCAATCTGCTGCGCCTATAGACATACAAATGCAGTCTGATGCGCCTATAGACATACCAGAACAGAATGATGCGCCTATAGACATACAATTACAGTCTGATTCGCCTATAGACATACCAGAACAGACTGATGCGCCTATAGACATACCAGAACAGACTGATGCGCCTATAGACATACCAGAACAGACTGATGCGCCTATAGACATACCAGAACAGACTGATGCGCCTATAGACATACCAGAACAGAATGATGCGCCTATAGACATACCAGTACAGAGTGATGCGCCTATAGACGTACCAGAACAGACTGATGCGCCTATAGACATACCAGAACAGAACAGACATACCAGATGCGCCTATAGACATACCAGAACAGACTGATGCGCCTATAGACATACCAGAACAGACTGATGCACCTATAGACATACCAGAACAGACTGATGCGCCTATAGACATACCAGAACAGACTGATGCGCCTATAGACATAGAACAGACTGATGCGCCTATAGACATACCAGAACAGACTGATGCGCCTATAGACATACCAGAACAGACTGATGCGCCTATAGACATACCAGAACAGAGAACTGATGCGCCTATAGACATACCAGAACAGACTGATGCGCCTATAGACATACAAATGCAGTCTGATGCGCCTATAGACATACCAGAACAGAATGATGCGCCTATAGACATACCAGAACAGACTGATGCGCCTATAGACATACAAGTACAGTCTGATGCGCCTGTAGACGTACCAGAACAGAGTGATGCGCCTATAGACATACAAGTACAGGGTGATGCACCTATAGACATAACAGCACAGAATGATGCACCTATAGACATACAAGTGCAGTCTGAGGCGCCTATAGACATACCAGAACAGAGTGATGCGCCTATAGACATACAAGTACAGTCTGATGCGCCTATAGACGTACCAGAACAGAGTGATGCGCATATAGACATACAAGTACAGGGTGATGCACCTATAGATATACCAGAACAGAGTGATGCGCCTATAGACATACCAGAACAGAGTGATGCGCCTATAGACATACCAGTACAGACTTATGGGCCTATAGACAAACCAGAATAGAGTGATGCGCCTATATATATATATATATATATATACCTGAACAGAGTGATGTGCCCTATATATATATATATACCAGAACAGAGTGATGCGCCTATATATATATATATATATATATATATACCCGAACAGAGTGATGCGCCTATATATATATATATATATATATATACCAGAACAGAGTGATGCGCCTATATATATATATATACCAGAACAGAGTGATGCGCCTATATATATATATATATATATATACCAGAACAGAGTGATGCGCCTATATATACATATATATACCTGAACAGACAGCTGCACCTACAGATGGTGGTCGTGTGAACTGGTTGTCAATGTGCTGGATGCGCTACATTAAGGGCAACCCAGAAAACATCTTCTTCAAGACTGAGCACAGCAATGAGCCATTCAGAGAACTGAAAGTGTCTACAGGCAACCACCGGGGAAGACCTCAGAGTATCTGTGGACCTCTGACCCGAAGGTACTCGGGAAAACAAGCAATTTCCACAGCCAAGAAAAAAGATCTCATGTCACTCTGTCGGTCGGGTATTATACCCAGAGAGTATCACAACTATTACAAAGAACTCCGGACAGATGCTGACAAAGTAGAATGCCTCCCCCTTCCTGACGCCTTGGAGCAGGATACAGACACCGATACACACTAAAGCTACGACACTGAAACAACAGTCGTTGCTTTGTGCTATTACATGGTGTATGTTATATCGTGGACATGGGTGAGGATAGTGTAATAATCATAGTGTCATAGTCTGGTTTTATATATTTCTTAGTCACTTTCATTCAAATGGCATGCCATGTTTCCAAGAAAATGTTATGTTGTATTATTTCCTGACTCCTCATTTACTGTAAAGTGTTCTGCTATATATTTCCTCATTTTGCAAATTTAACTTGCACACATATTTCACACAAATCACTTTTTTCCACCAGACCACAAAGTTACGTAAACCTTTTCCTATAAGTTATTTAACAAGTTTAAAGAGTATGAAATAGTGTTAAGAGGTGGATATCAATATCAATTCTCAATTAAAAAAATGACATTTACATTTTGAGACGTCAGCAAATCATTAACGAAAGGAAATACTACTCATTATTATATCTAACATGTCACATATCTAACATGACATATCTATGTCATCAAATACCTAATGTGATAGACTAACAACTAGTCTCTGAAATGAACATATTTTACTGAAAAAAGTTCATAGTAAAAAATATATATATAATGAAAAGGAGCCCTGAGACTTCTTCATTTTTCAGTTTAGTACAGACCCTGAAGCTGAGGAAATCTAGACTTGCCACATTTTCTAGACTTGTGTGGGCTTTCTTGGATATATTTGCTTCAGGGTCTGTACGAGAGACTACTAATGTGATTATTCAGTGTTCTATCTAATCTGTGTGATGTAATCTTGATTCACTTATAACAGACTTAATTTTTAGTATCAAAAGTCTTTAGCCTTCATCTATGTCATAGTCTAGTGTCATAGTTCTATTAAGTTTTATCATCCAAAACTGTGTTCCACAGGAGACATTGCTTGTGTGAGATCAGACGATATCTCCTAGGACATATCGTTTTGAGAGTAAATTTTGCACAATGCCCTGACAATGCTATGACGTCATGACCTTGATGACGTCACATTGCTATGTCATTGCTGCACTGCGAGTTCAATGGCAGTACTGTGTTCAGAGAAGTACATTTTTCATTGAAAGCTAAGGAAGAGTGATTTTTATGATAAATAGAATCAATCCCTCGTGTCTTCTGATATCAAATATATCAACATTCGTTGATCAAAGTAAAAATATCGGGAGGCCTCGGACATTTGTTACTTTATCAACTCGTGGTGATATATTTGATATCAAAAGACACTCGGGTAAGATACTCTATATACCAAGCGGCTTAAATTATTACTCAGATCGTTACATTTATCCCTAATTTGACTTAATATGCAATGGGCTTATCTGTGGTTGCGTATTATGTGTATGTGTGTGACTGTGCTTGATTTTCTTCTATTCAGTAATTTGAAACTATACTGTTTATGAATTTCTGTTTACATGTAATATAATATTGAAATAGTTAAAAATACTGAAACACTTACAATGTCTTATAGTAATTGGTTTTATTCTTCAATAAAGAAGTACACGGTAATGATGCATTGTGGAACTATGTTGAAAGTATTGAGACGCTGTTGTCATCTAACAGAAAAGTCTAAAAGAAAGTCTTGAAGGTGGTTTAAGCAATTACTGATGTCTTCAGTGATAACAACATGTGAAGATAAAATCTCACAAGCACAATTTAAGGCGAGCTATAAGTAAAATGCATTCAATAACAGAAAGGCAGTTACTGCTGGTTAATGGTTCCAGCCACCAGCTGAGAGTGTGGGATACTGCCTAAAGCAGCTTTACCTCAGGATATGGTTACAGGGCTTAGAGGAAACAGTGGTTGGCTGGCTGTGATGATATGGGTGATCTTGAGATCAGGTGTCATTGCTTTTAGTTGGCTTCCGCATTGATACAATTGTTTGGGCAAAGATAATGCTCCCCGAGTTAGTGGAAACTGCGACACAGATAAAATCGTATCCGCAAACTATGCCAAATTCCCCTGTTTAAAGATAACCGGATTCTTGACTCGGGGACAGACATATTTTCAACATATTCTTAACTGCCATACACTGTGTTTCTAATTTAACTGATTCTCGCTCTCATGTTTACAGAGCCCAGAGTGTTTTACATTTACGCCAGAACAAGCTAAAGTTTATTTTCGTCATACCTATCTAATTAGGCTGATTATATTTATGGTTGTATAGTAACATGAATGCACCAGCATACTCTGTCACCTAGTCACAAAACAGTAAACAAGAATTGATTATTGTTTTTTTTTATAACTTTCCAAACATTTGAGTGCTGTTTCTCGAAATGCGCCTGTGTGGTTATAAGTGGTTCTGGCTCTAACCCCTCGATATGTCATTCACCAATGAAAGTCATGCACTTTACACGCTATGAAGGGTAAATCTATAGATAACCAGCTACTGACATGTCATCTGGCCAATGTCGTGTGTCATCACTTTACCATCGGCCATTGACTAACATGCACTACGAGAACTCCACTACGCTCGGAGATGAAAAATAGTGATAAATAACTACCCAAATATTACATTTCATTGTCACACACGGCAGAAACTGCAGCGTCTAAACTTAGAAACGAACACAAGACTATTGTCGATGTGGAAATCAAAACTGTTTCTGTGTTATTATGAAATCTTTTATTTCAAATATAATGTACAAACAAAAGGAAATTACTGCTGGATAGACCTTCTAAGGATAGATGTTATTAATAGAGGATACTAAACGACCTTCCGTGTAATACCATTTTCTTTAAAAGAGTTAATGAAAATGGTATTTCACGGAAGCGAGTTTAGTGTTCTGTTTATTACTCTCCAACATAAACTGATAGAAACTGCCTACGAAGTGTGATGACTCTCAGCTTTCTACGAGTCGAGCAAGGTCTAACACCATTGTGACAGAGGTATTAGCATTGTGACGTCATAACTGTAACCATTATGACGTCATACGTCTAACGGTATTACACTAGTGTAATATTGCCGTAAAAATATTACACTGCAGTGTCTTCCACGGGTGAGCAATAAATAGAGGATATTATATGAATGCCCATGTCATACTATGTTTACGACACGAGTTCCTTAATTTTGGTATTTCCCGAGCGAGAGCGAGGGATATACCGATATTTATGCACGAGTGTCGTAAACATAGTATGGTTTGGGCACGAATATAATATTCTGTTTGAGGAAAATAAACCCAAATCTACTGTCAAACACAGGCTGGCTACCCGCCGTCGTCGCATGTAGGACGCAACGTCACAGAAAAACGTGACGTCATAGCATTGTTCATGACGTCACGTCACCATGACAAAGTGATATTATGCCCTAGGTCATCGTATAAAAAATATGAACCCCGATATGTTCGCCCTCGTAGGTAATAACAGCATTTATTACCCACGTTGTTGCATACTAATCTCGTACGTCACACGAGTGTCGTATCGCGTTGGCCTGTGTCGTAACGACTTGACCTGAGATTATAACGATTTGATTGGATAACCGATGACCTCTCCATTAGGTCACATTCCGACGTAACTATTTTTTCATTCTTAACAAACACGTGAATTCATTCATTCTACAACTTAAATGCATTGTGGGAATGTAAACTTTCGCTCGGTCAGATACCATAGGAAGGACACCCGTTTCGTATAATTCGTATGTAATTAGACCTCGTGTAGTATTCGGGGCGGTGGGGTAGCCTAGTGGTTAAAGCGTTGGCTCGTCACGCCGAAGACCCGGGTTCGAATCCCCACATGGGTACAATGTGTGAAGCCTATTTCTGGTGTTCCCCGCCGTGATGTTGCTGGACTAGTGCTAAAAGTGGCGTAAAACCAAACTCAGTCAGTCAGTGGTGTAGTATTCTCTACTTATTACCCACGAGGGCGAACGTATCGGGGTTCATATTTTTCATACGATGCCCTAGGGCAAAATATCACTTTGTCATGGTGACGTGACGTCATGAACAATGCTATGACGTCACGTTTTTTTCTACGACGTTGCGTTCTACATGCGGCGACGGCGGGTAGCCAGCCTGTGTTTGAAAGTAGATTTGGGTTTATTTTCCTCAATTTGACGACTTCGGTAATAAAAAAAGAATATTATATTCGTGCCCATAGCATACAATGTTTACGGCACTCGTGCCTAAATATCGGCATATCCCTCGCACTCGCTCGGGAAATACCAACATTTAGGCACTCCTAAACATAGTAAGACATGGGCACTCACATATCCTCTATATATCCATCTAGGCGCTGTAACTTATTAGTTCACAGACATACTCATAAACGTGGCCTGTCCACATAGTTAATGTCAATGTTCTAAAATACCCAAATCAATATGTGTTGTTTTTTCTCTAAGAATAGATATGTAACCGTGGTTCGTTCCAGCTTCCACAGATTTTCTCCGCTAGCAGTCCTTGACGGCGAGGTAGACTACAGTATCTTGTCCTTGACTGGGTGGTGATGATTTTCTTCATAAAGAAAAAAGAAACAAAACATACTTATTTATTGATATTACTTACGTAAGTCTAAAATATAACATCGGGGCATTGACCCCCAACACCATATATTTTTATTGAGTGAAATGAATGGAAACAAAATGTAATTATAAACAATAACAACGCGCTGATTAGGGTTTTGAAAGGGCATGAAAGAATGTCAAACTACCGTAGACACTATTGAGTACAATTAAAAGCTTACAACTTTATATTAACCTTTTACATTCCAAACATCTTGTAACTTATGAATAGATTGCTCTCCTACTAACGCACTAGTTTCTCACCGAGATGTAAGTACTAGTAATTACTAGTAATTAACACATTTTTATGTTATTGTTGAAAGCTTGTAAGGACTGTGTTTTAGTAGGGGTTTCTATATTCACCTGCAGATGTAGATACCCAGTGCCAGGACTGCAAGCAGGACAGCAGCAGCAACACAAACACCAACCACGACGGGGACGAGGTTGACTTCTGACGTACAAATGAGAATATCAAATAAGACATCCCCAAATGTATCCAATCACAGACATATAATTGTTTGATTTGATAAACATTTAGTGCATCGAAGTCACACACATTTGACTGAAAAGCATCACCATTTATCTGTGGAGTTAGTACAGTCAGTTTATGATTAAACTTATTGATTTTGACTAATGAATTTGGTCCTTCGTGTACATAGCGAAACCTCCAAAACCTGGTTGCCGAAATAAATATCAACCAGGGCCCAGAAAATACACGAACCAAATAAAGTGACATGATTAGATCGCCTACATGGATATCGCACACAAGTCACCTTGATGGGTCCCTGATCGAAGAGTGACCTGAGTACAGTTGTACCCAATCCAACCAGTTTCACACCCAAAGAGACATCTCCCATCTTCTCTGTCACACGGAGTTCCACCCTTACATTGGCCACAGGACTGATTGCAGTTTACACCAAAATAGCCATCGATGCACTCTGAAGAATACACTGATTCTCTAACATAACAAATAACAGAATAGCTGGGTATAAAACATTTGATTTGACCTTAAATGTTTGTGTTTGTTTCGAAAAGGCCATGCTATATTTAACCTGCCAAACTTACACATGAAGGAAATGCGTATTTACTTTTCCACAGATTTAAAGATCATTTCCGTTGAAACCGGAAACGTACAGAATTATATCGAGTTCTTACCTTTAGTACAGGTGAATCCAAACCAGCCTTCATCACATCCTGAAATACACCGCCCATCTGCTTTGTCGCACGCAACTCTACCCAGACAGTGTCCACACGAGTCTGTGCAGTTGACTCCAAAATAACCTTCCGTGCACTCTGAAATATTGCAGTCATTACAATACTGTGTTCATCCCATGATGCATATTTCCTTACATTTATAGTCCCATTGCTGCAATATCGTACCGATAACACAGCAAATAAATATACATTCGAAATCAACAAATCGTCTTAAATGACATGAAAGTTAGTAATTTGCCCTCACCAACTTGTCAGTACTTGATGGTTAGTGAACGAGATCAGATTATCTTTTTTCCGGATTAAGTTCGACGTCTTTGCCAGTCAGTCAATATACATTAAAAAACAAGTCAGCAAGATGAGAAAAGCAGCGTTGGTGCTCGTTGGATGCGTATTTCTTGTGCATATGTCTTCTCTCAGGGGTTGTAAAAGAGATATAAAGCATTTCATACATTATAATCCAAGTAAACTTCATTTCTTTTCATTTTTGACACATTGTTCTAAACTTCTGACGACAGAACTGTTTCTATGGTCACCACATTTTGTAAAACAACTCTCGATGGGGCACACTTTCCTGAAGTGTGATGAGAGGGATATATAGTCGGGTACAAAGCTGAAAACCAAATGTTTTGACAGAAATGAAAGTGTCTTGAGATGTTAAAACGTCAAGAAAATACTTTGAGGCTTGAAAATACACACTTGTCTGAAGTACTTTCTGAGAATGTATGGAAAGTCCTTCCTTGATTGCATGAAAGATTATTTTTTATCACTGAGACATTTAGATTTAGTTGCATATTTGCAAGACCTAGCAATATACCTTTCTTTTTCCAATACAAATCAACACTAAACATATCTGCTGGTTTTAGTGCAATGCCAAACTGATGAATGGTTTAGGCAGATTTCTTCCTCATTGAACATTCTGTCAGTGGATGTGGCCTATCTGCCACTTCTACCAAGATGTTTCATGAACACACTGACATTATGGTCATGCTATTTGAGGCCTTGTCAGTAGACACAGCTACAAGCATTTCATGTAGGGCAGGCAGGCTGCAAACCCATTCCACCTCATTCCAGACAAATCCAACCCACTGAAAACATATAATATATACTAGGCCTCACTGATAAAGCGCTACATTCTATATAGCACATGTAAAGAAAAGTTTCTCAGAAGTGACAGAACTAAGAGTGTCAGCATACTGCACAAAGTTCAACCTGATGCTCCTTATCAAGTTCATAAAGAAGCTTGCGGAATCGCATTCCATTCCTCTACTAGAGCTCTGCGAAGACCTGGGAGATCCACTAGTGCTGGGTGACGTGTGTACAGTTCACTCTCAATTAGGCAGAGTCTATCCAAAACAGTCTTGTTAAGACAACATTATTGCACTATGGCTAAGTGAGAGATGCGAGCCATGTAATTAGCAAGAGCCACTGAAACGTGAGCCTTTGTTCAAGGGCTATAGTCTGTATCTGCAATGCGACACGACTGAAGATGTATGCGTGTGTTTGTAATACTAAAGCAAAAGAAATAACATTTCAAATAAATTAATTTAACAACAAAAGAATATTAATCAGAATCTGGCTAAGTGAGAGCCACCGCGTGTACACAAGTCGACCGAGTTCATCCCAGGCATGTTCAATTGGGTTGAGGTCTAGCGAGCATGCTGGCCATTCCATCCTCTCTGCACCCTGCTGCCTAAGGAATTCCGTGACTATCATCTCGGACTGCTGTGACTGTGTGGCCACCTGGTCGACGTGCATATTCCACGGGCCCATTGGCTTGAAATCTCAGTCTACCAATAGCACTCTCAGCAACCTGCCGCTAGTTTGACCAGATTCCAAAAGGCCTATAGCTTGACCCCCGTTTCAGCAAGTGTCAAAAACGTCTCATTTTAAGCTGCTATTTCATACAGGTAACTGAACAGTGAACGACAGTGAAAAAGCATCAATGCATGTGTATTGTCCTTAACTCTCCATGGATAGAGCGACTTGCACGTGCGAATCATTGACATTAAGTGGCAGGGGGATTTACATATTAACAATTTGAAAAAGAATGTGCCATTTGTAACAGAATGTATCGGACATTAAAGAACGTAATAATGACATTTCAACGGCCTGGTGTGTTTTTCCATACTGTTAAAAAGTTTGTAAAACATTCAGTTGTATGTATTTCAAACAATAACGAAGATTTTACAACCTTTATGAAATAGTGTTAACAATAGCTTGACCCTTCATTAATGACACCGAGTATAAAATCTAACCTTGAATACAGTTATATCCAACCCAGCCACTTTCACATCCTGAGGCACATTGTCCATTCGATTTGTCACATGCAGCTTCTCCTTTGCAATGGCCACATGACTCCTTGCAGTTGACGCCAAAATAACCGTCCGTACACTCTGAAACATAAGACATAAATTAAGTACCTTGAACGTTTCTACCATTACTGTCGGCTATATCTCGTGTCTTGCTGGTAGAGAGGACATGCACATACCACACACCGTCAAGAGGATAAAATCAGTACATGTCAGAATATGTTGCATAGACACTTCAAATTGACTTTTACATTTATACAAAACATACCAAAACGTTTCGTTAGAACAAGGTTAAATCTCCTTGATAATATATGCGGATTATTCCCGAATCTGACACATAACAGTCAGATATTTACCAGCACTAAAGAATTTGTTTTGCTTCCGTAATCCCCTAAGTTAGGTCATAGCGGTTGCTGAAAGGTCCGCATCTTACAGTATATATTCAAGGGTGACCATCTTCAGGAAAACGTCCTACCCTCAGTGCACATGTCCCCTATCCACCCTGGTCGGCATCCTGATGGGCAGTACCCGGTATCACGTGTACAGGGCATATCATCACGGCAGTGTCCACATGGCAGCTGGCATTCCTTCCCATGGCTACCAGGCGGGCATTCTGGAATATATGTGAAGGAGCTGCTATGCCTACAATATTCTTACTGTTCCTTGAATCTCATTACAGACATAATGCGTTACCGTACACCATGTATAATTGCGCACAGAAAATCAAAGACATATATCACTTGATTATATATACCGCTCAATGTCATTAAGTAACCAATCACAATCCAGTATTTACTGAAGTCATGGTATGGTAGATTTCATAATGTTACGATGTTTATGTTAAGTTATTATGGTTCCTGTCGTGAAAGGCGTCACTGTGCACATGCGTCGCCTGGGCCCCGTTCCTCAAAGCGATCGTAGCTCTAAGATGATCGTAACTCCCATACTTTAAGAGAGACTTACAACTGTCGTAGCGCTACGATCGTTTTGAGAAACTGTGCCCAGGGTATTACGGAATCATATGATCGTGTGTTCACATCCCAGATTTATTCATGTTGAACATGGTTTATCTCATTGGAGCATGCCCGTGGACTCCACCAAGACGGTGATGGTTTCAGAGATACACCAGAGATATTCTACCCAGATGAAGCTAACATGCCGTGATATTAGTGTCATACAGTCAGAGGCTTGAAAACAAAGCTCAGCTAAGCGTATATTTGCCATTCTACCATGGCTACGTGAAATGCTCGAATTTGATTGCTCAATCCATAAATTCAATTTGGATTGAAAATGCGTCTGCTTTCACGGCGCTTCACTGCGCACGTATACAACACTGCCGCACTACTTCAGCTTGGCCACCAACATGACTAATATCAGCACAACAGACGTGATGGAAATGCTGATGAAACATTTATTTAAACTCGAAAAATACAATTATACGATTTCTCCTCCACAATTATTATGGAACCTCACTATCATAATTATTACCTTCTATTATAAAAATATGCAAACTCAATTACAATACACAGCCCCAAACATAAACAAACAATATCTAACATATAAATCAGAAAACCTTGTAAAAATACATCCCTATCTATCCCTATTTGTGCGGCAAAACGCTCGTAAACATTTACCTACCTGGTAAATGGTATATTTATTTCCGTTTAGAATAGGAAATTCGCAAGATAACGGTCAGGCGAAAAATTTGCCACTCATACTCCATCATGTCCCGTTGTTCAAAATGTAAAAAATGGAACCATGACAATTCTGCACTCTGCCACCTTCCCCGCAAGGCTGTCACTGCTGTGTGTTCGTACACTTCGAAAAGCTTGGCCACAATCCAGGCCCAAATGATGAGAACAATGTTCCAAGGAATCCCAAGTTAGTCGCATGTACACAAAGCAGCACTGTCACTCTTTCGGCGCATGCTGGGGTGGAGGTACGTACGTGAAATCGTGATCGACACTCGCCGGTCATAAAAATCAACAGTCTTTAAAAAGTTACAGATCATAGGTCGATCAGAAAAGGATCTATTCTTCGATTCTGCAGGGTTCAGGCTCGACAGTCAGTCAAGTATTTTCCACTGTCACTTCGAATTTCAGCCTTACGCAAAATGTAAACACTGGCTCGTCCGCCATTTCAAACTGTTGCGTAACTGTCTACTTCCAAGAAAATAAGTAGGTCAGATGATTCCATTATACTTTGGCTAGGGGGATACAGTAACAAGTAGTATACACAATGGGACTACGGGACCAGGTACCCCTCCAAGGGATCAATTTTTAAATTTATAAGAATCTTATTTTCGCTAGGGCTACCCATTTTTTCAGCAACTATTTTGTTCGACCCGACACCAAGGTTGCTTGAACTTCCAATTAGACATATGGAGTTGCTACAGTATACAGGATACACTCCGACAACAACAACTATGGCAAAACAAATCGCAGCAACTTTCCAAGAACTGGGCATTCGGCGCAGCAAATCAATTGCACAGCACCTCCTACTGGAAAACACGCACGACAACAACCTTGTGTCCGATATCTCGACGTTAGACTATCTCACTGGAAATTTCGAGGAAACCCACTTGCAACCACTCTTCTGTCTTCCAGCCTTTCTCAAAGACCTGTACATGTTTGGCTATCTATCTCGCAAAGATATCGTGCAGCACAAGGGAAGCGTCCAATGTACGACGGGATAGCACGGCCACGCCCAAAAAGTCGTCGGACTACACCTCTGGATACTACGCATCACCTACAAAGAGCATACCGAAGCCACCAAAATGTATGTGACACTTCTCCACACAGTGCAAAAGACGAGTGCAGGAGCTATTGCCAGCATGATCCAAAACATCGATAACGAAACCGAGCAGAAATCGTTACGAGCATCGAAAGCCCAAAACGACGACGAAACCCCTTTTCCAGTCCTCGTGGCCATGGATCAAGACATATTTCTCCCGGCAACTCCACACATCGAATGGCAATGAAGGCAGAAGAAATGCCAAAAGCTGGGCAAAGAAGGATCCGACCAACCTCTCTAAGAAATGCCGAACATAGCAGCCAATCGCAAAATTTTTACTCTGTCTACACAAACGCGAGGAAGGAAATTGCTTGAGCTACTGGAGTCCGAGAAGGCAGAATATTGGCAACGAAGAGCCGAAAAGGTGCTACAAAAGGATCGTGCTCGGGGATCATCTTTTTTACTGGGCGCTGGGCCAAAAATAACACCCTAGGAGGACCTGTAATAGAACCCCCATTATGTATAGTATTACTACTTGGGTGGTTGAAGCCCCGGATATGTCTGTATATGGACATGGAACCCTGTCACACAGATGTACTCACCTTGTGGGTGGTTGAACACACGGATATGTCTGTATATGGACATATAACCCGGTCACACAGATGTACTCACCTTGTGGGTGGTTGAATACCCGGATATGTCTGTATATGGACATCCCTCTCGGTATTGATGTAGTTATTAATCGTCCACCCGTTATTGGCATCGACAAATAGACAGACCTGACAAAGTATGTATTTGCAAGACAAAAGTTGATATGTCGGCATATTGTATCAGATTTCATTCATTTCCCTTGTGAAAGACATTTAATATTTTTTAAAGATTTGTACTCCTACAATCGAAACATAAAGCACAGTACCACATTATAAATGTTAAAACGCTCTGTTGGGCTGTTCTTTAGAATACAGTTTTTGAATCAGCATTTCAACAGGACTCTCCGCTGTTTCTGTTTATGATTCATGGATCAAATGTAGGTGTAGAGCAATCACGACGAATGTTTAAACATACAATTATCATTCATAACATCACTTACGTGCTCTCCCGGTCAATAAAGTATAAAATGTCGTTGCACAAATCAATATCAAAGAATTCACGTTGGCGTCCCGTGTAGGGTATGGACCTTGAAGTCCTTGTTGAGAGGTCTAGTGCCTTCACGTCATTCAGGCTTCCGTGTTCATCAACCCAGAACAAATTGTCACCTGCATAACAGAGTTCACTGAGACAAAAAATATCCTTTACAAGATGTTATGTATAAAACTCCCGCACGTTCGAATCAATTAAAGAAACAAACAATGCTGCAAACGATGAACATATTGAATGTAACTATGTACATGTTGTAACCGAATGTATCCGTAGGAGAAAGGGGTAACGTAGCTTTCAGTGATATTCACGACACTTTCACTGGCATCTGAACAGTTTTGTGACAGTTTACCGGTTTTGTCTAACACCAACGACGTGGGCCAGATCAGGCTAGAGCGTACAAGGGTTTCTCTGTCGTCTCCGTCGTAGTCAGCCATCTCTAGTTTGGGGGAGTCGCCAATGTCGGACCAGTAGAGTTTCCTGTTTACATAATAATTAACATCAACGCCACAGAATACCCAGTCTCAACATTCCGTACAAATTGATTACAGTGGCCGTAGAAGGCTAGTACCTAATACTGAACGTTCATGACTCGATCACTACAGACTAGAGGTAACATGGTCATGTGTGCCCGTGATGATATCTTCTTGGTCGAACTTACATGGAAATCATTATGCCAAACATTCACACTCAACATTATTCTAACGGAACCTGTACCCTCCACCTCTACCCACCACCCCCACCCCCACCCCACACAGACACACAAACACACATATATACACACACTACACCGCCCAACCCCCACTACACACACACACTCGCCCTCACACCCACACACTACATCCCACACCCAAATTCAGCCCTCATCAGCCCCCTACACACACACACACACACTACATCCTACATCCACACTCAGCCCCTTCACACACAGAGACACACCACCATTACCCCACACCCACACTACACCCACACACACACTCACTACACCCCCTCACATACTCGCCCTCACCTCCCTCCCACAAACACACCCCACCGACCCTACCACTACATCCTACACCCACACTCAGCCCCTCACACACTGAGACACACCACCATCACCCCACACCCACAATACACCCATCTACACACTCACTACACCACACACACACCACAATCACACTCCCCTCACAACACACAAACACACACACACATCTCCACATCTCAAAACGCTCTTCTCCATACCTTCTACGTGCATCAGCTGCAAGGGCGTGTGGTCTGGTCAAGTCTGAACGAACAATCACATCTTTCACCCTCGTCTCCAGGTGGTACTTCCCAATGACCGCTGTTCTATCGTCGCTGTAGAAAAGAATCCTTGAGGTCGGATCCAACACAAGTCCCTGAGATTCTGAAAAAACACACACACAGATGCACCAGTCAACATGTTAATATTAAACCTTTGTTGTTTGAACCTATCAGTGTTCCTGGCGCTCTCGCAGAAGGGGCGAGGGGTGTCCTAAACCAATTCTACAAATGTTCCAGACATACTGCATTAAATATTAGTTAAATGGAACACAAACAATTATACAGCCATTATCTTCTCATTAATGAGTACTTGAGATAAGTATAATATGTCATCTTGGACTGGGCGGCTTAACGTGTTCAGTGTCAGTTATACAATGCCATTCACAGGCATAATGGTACAGGCATGTGTTGGGACAAAACCAGCGAATGACGATTCATTGGGCGAATCCTTAGAAGTAACATATGATATTTTCAAAACTCCCCTTGAAGCGGCATGTCATGTCCTGGCGGTTAACACTTTAAATGATATATACAACACGGGTGTACACAGTGTGAATGTATATAAACTGACGTACACTGTAGATTTAGTAACAATCGACATTACTTCCTGTGTCTAAGGAAAGAGACGAACTTGCCGCAAACAAAGAGAACTGATAACATCGACTCTTATAAATGTGTGTTACTCATTCAGATAAACTGTGGCTTTTGTTCATGATAATCTTTGCTTGGATTTGAAGGGGAACTACTTTAACTTCTATGTCCAGAATCACTTGTGCTTTACTGTTTTACGTGGGATTAAATGCAATATGCACATACTGTTATGTACAGCTCACGGGGGTATGCAGCTGTACCAAGTATACCCTCCACCTCTCCCCCTTGGCTCCGCCAATGCATAACATCAACCTCAAACCTTAGTCATTTTCCATGGGAGGAAGGGGGGGGGGGAGGGGGGGTGTCCCGAAACCCCTTAACGCCACCCTATCCACACTCGAAGTTAACCAGGAGCTGTGGGTGAATGATTATGATAGGTAAGTAACTCCCGACCCACGCGAACTGAGCCCTACCCTCAATGAGTTGTTTAGGGAGGCAGGGCAATGTCCATCGTTTGTCTAAAAATAGCATATATGCAATTATCCAATGAATAACACATATGAAATGCTTGACCCCCACCTCCTCGTCCCTAGGGGTGACTGCGCAGTGATTGACGTCGCTGTAGGCATTAGACGTGATGAGCGATAAGTAGTCGGACATCGCTAGCTTCCTCCATCAAGTACTGGCGTGTCCACTCCTTCCACTTTCTCAACTACTTAGAGGGGTACATCGGTTGTGAAATGTCAACCACATTGTTGCAATACTGACTTGTTAGTGCAAATTAATCCTCATACTATTAACCACTGGTACAGCTGGTTTAAGTTTGACTGTACGCCATAAAACTATATCGCCACAATAGGGTTGTAATCTTGTCTTCGTTATTTTATACAGGTAGTTAAGAATATGCGTGGATGTGTTTGTATTCGTTGGTATTAAAAGTGAGATAATGCATTGCCTACTGGACTCATGAAATAAATATATTTTATCCGCTATAATGAATGAGAGAGTTTCGTTTAACACCGCTGTGAACGAGGATCTAACTTTACTCAAGGCTGTCAGCGTGATGAGATGCAGGTCTCAGACGTGTAAACCACACAGGAAGGTATGGTGCACGACAATCTACAAACACAATCAGGGCCAACCAGGAGTCCCAGGTTTCGGATGAGTTGAAGGGACGTATGCCATAGGGCAATGCCCAGTTTAACAATGTCCAGTATAATAAGTATATGGAATGTGTAATAAAATTAATAAAATTATTCTTACTTTCGATGTCGAAAAGTTTCACGTAATTTCCACCATCGAGGTCAATTCTGCTAACAGAATGGGTGTCAAGATTGGACCAATAGACTTGTTCTTCAACTGGATCATAGGCAATATCTTCCGTTCCTTTTTGGTCGTGGAATACGATGTTCTGACCATTTGCATCCATCTTGTAGATGGCGCCGTTGTGGTCGGTGATGAGCACTAGTAATTCAGCTGTTAAAGAAAATACGAATACATTTGATAGTAGCCCTACTGCATGATTCGACAGCTACATGACACACGCTTCGAAATTTTCGTGCAGTAACAAAATGATAGTAACCAAAGTGCGCCTCTGTTATAAAACCAGCATCAAATCGAAGAATAAATGACTATAATCCGAAGTGTTCCGTAAATTACCGTAAAAACACTGGTGCATTAATCTTGGAACTACTTATCTTATCTTTTATGTTATTCGACCAGTGAGTTAATTGAGTTCTACGCCAGTGCCAACCTTCCTTCAGTCAAAGCAGTGTATTTACTAAGCCAAGCTGTTAACGTATCGTACGAATGACCTGTTTTGGCAAGGGGCACTCACCTCTGATGTTGCCGCTCTGTAGCAGCAGCACCGCTAGAAACTGCATCCACTGTCGCGGAGCCATGGTCAAACTCAATGTGGCAACACGGACCGCGGGTCGGAAGGGCGTGATGTCACACTCGCAGCTTCATCAATCCGGATATCTGAAGCTTGTTACACATGCAATATAACGCGGGTATTGGCGTTACATGGTTGCAAAATATATTCCGTTACGTTAGGTTCGCTTCTTTGAGTGGCATTTTAGAAGTTGGGAAGTACAATATGGAATAAACTTTATGGATAACAACTTCTTTTATTCGTGAGTGCGACGTTTCGATACAGATTCTTGTACCGGTGTCCAAAAATATGCTTGACACCGGTACAAGAATCTGTATCGAAACGTCGCACTCACGAATAAAAGAAGTTGTTATCCATAAAGTTTGTTCTATATTATAAAGTAAGGTTCGGTTACACTGTATTAGAGTGAAACGTGATTAAGCAATTTTGAATGGGATACACACTAAGTACCACACAAACACACAAGGTACTCACCATCTTGTTTGTTCACCCTGCATGTACACCATTATTTGTCTAGTCACCTGCCTGTTATATTTGGGGAAATACACCCGTTATGATATTATCTCGGGGATTCGATTTATTTTGTTGATTGGTACCACCACAGTATTTGTGGGAGAATGTGTGGTCAGTTATATATTCAAGTTTAGTCAAAGTAACATTTTATTGTCATTGCTAGTTTCGGTTTATACTGTATATAAAATACATGTGTTGAATCATTTATATTTATACATGACAGTGTTATTATGTTTACGGGAGATATTACCCATGGCGATGACAGGAAATATGTAGAAATACATAAATCTGTATAATGTCTCGCGTTCTACAAGTGGTTGTATCCGCTCATTCCCGCGTGACAGAATTGTGCAATACAGCCATGTTGAAAGTCCATCTTTCACGCTGGTGAGACGGACAATGGGGCAGAGGAAGGGTGTGTATCGTCAAGGTCAAGGATATAGGACTGGTGATGTACCTTTCACATTCAAGCAGAGTGTCTGAAAAACTGTAACTGTAACTGACTTACTTGATGTAGTTATAATTCAAAAGAACACCCCACCCCATCCTAACCAATCCCACCCCAACCCGACATGCAAACCCTGCTGCAAACGATACCGGGATCCCTGGGCCCTGCTGATGTGGGATGCTTCATTCTACCTCGCAGTTGACGGAGATGGTGTATTAGTGTGGCTAGCTGTTGAAGCGCAGATGTTGTCTACTTTCACCAACAGAGAATGAATTGTCACATAGATCAACAATAATATCTGTTTCTTCATCCTCAATACACTAACCCGTGAAGATCCGGGTTAGAATTGATCTTCAGTAACCCATGCTTGTCGTAAGAGTAAGGGGCGACTAAGGGGATCGGGTGGTCAGGCTCGCTGACTTGGTTGACCATTGGTTGACACGTCACCGTATCCCAACTGAGTAGATCGATGCTCATGCTGTTGATCACTGGATTGTCTGGTCCAGACTCGATTATTTACAGACCGCCACCATATAGCTGGAATATTGCTGAGTGCGGCGTAAAAGTAAACTCACTCACTCACTCCGCAATACACTAACGTATATAAATAAGGTGGCAGTAATAAATTAGAGGACAGATTTGTTCGGCATTGTCTTCGGTATATCTTTCCGGCACGGCAGAAGAGTGTTTGACAGTTTAAGAGTACAGTTTGCTAATTGTGTTCTAATTTAGTTATAATATTTGGCATCATTTAGGATTTATTGTTATATGTTTTGGGGTTTTAACAACCTGATCAATAAATGATCACTGTCGTACACACCAGTATTGAAAATGTTTATATAAGTATGAGCAAACAGGGTGTAATCAGTTTCACCCTGTAAAGTAAATAAACACGTATTAAAAAAGTGCAAATAACTATACAACTTAGAATAGGCAAGTCACGCCGACTACAGTGTGCAGACTGGCTGCGGGTTAGCCTAGTGGTAATGGTGCGGTCCCAGTGCCGACCTCACGCTACTCGACCTTCTCGACCTGAAGGTCGAGTTGGGGGTCGAGTTAGTCGAGTTTCAGAACGAGTTAGGTCGAGTCAGGTCGAGTCGGATCGAATCAGGTCTACCAAGTTTTTGCGAATTTTTTGACATGTCAAAAATTTTCCCCGACTTCCTCCTCGACCTTCGGTCCGAGATGGGGTCGAGACCAGGTCGAGAGTGCGGTCCCAGTGCCGACCTTACGCTACTCGACCTTCTCGACCTGAAGGTCGAGTTGGGGGTCGAGTTGGTCGAGTTTCAGAACGAGTTAGGTCGAGTCAGGTCGAGTCAGATCGAATCAGGTCTACCAAGTTTTTGAAAAATTTTGACATGTCAAAAATTTTCCCCGACTTCCTCCTCGACCTTCGGTCCGAGATGGGGTCGAGACCAGGTCGAGAATAGGTCGAGGTAGGTCGAAAAAAGGTCGAGTTTAGGTCGACATTAGGTCGAGTTGGTCGAGTTGAAGGTCGAGCTGGCCTGACATGCCGATCTGTGTTCGTCTTAGAGTCGATCTGTACTCGGCCTCGACTCGACCTCGACTCGACCATGACTCGACCAACTCGAACTGGACTCGACTTGGACTCAACCTGGAGTCGACCGACTCGACCTGAAGTCAACCTATCTCGACCTCAACTCGACCTAATCGAGTCCGCGCCGACCGCATAAATGGTCGCCATCTTCCCAGATGCTTCATAAAAGCCAAACGGCAGCCAGTGGTAGCACATCATCTCCACACCAACCTGCTGCCACCCAGAGGTCCACCCTGAGCACACCACCCTCTCCAACACGCCGCAAAGCAGCGGATCAGGCTGGTATCTTCCCCAGCTTTGACTCCAGTGCTGCAGCAGGTATATCTCTGTACCTGCCAAGCGGTCTCTTGGACCCTACACACACCTCAGAGGATCAGTCACATGTTCAGGACTCTCAGCAAGGACAGTGAAACTGAGAAGTAGAACTTGATACTCATATATTGTCATGAGCACTTTATACTGATGTGAAATGTTACCTTCAGATTATTTAAATGAGTTTCCAATAAAAGATTTAAAAGCTTTTTTATCTGATATTTTTTTGTATTTTCCATCCATTGCTAAGTGTAAATGTAAATACATCTTGTACGATTGTAATAAAGTTTGTTTTGTTCATCATGTATATAGTTAGTTTTCATTGTGTGTTTTTTTTTCGCATTTACCAATTGTAAATAGTGTAAATAAAAAACAAACAAGAGTTCCTTTGTAAATGAAGTAGTCCTAAATAATAGAGTACACTTTAAAGTCATTTGGATATCATTTTCTCTTGCCAATGAACAGCTCCTGGGCCCATGAAATAGTCCTTCAAATAGTTTCTTTGGTTGGCGCCATCTAGTGGGGTAACGTTCCTCGCACCCCGGTTATCCCCATCAAGCAGCTGTGTGCAGGAGCGCCACTCGCCTGGGGTGAGTGAACAGTCCCCATTCCCCTGGTCTATGAGGTTCATCTGACTGTTCCGGTTCCTCGTTCTCAGCATGTTGTGTAAAGTGACGCAGGCCTGGGTTATCTGTTCAGCTCTGTCTGCAGTGCTATTTAGGGAGCCGAGGAAGATCTGGAACCTCATAGCCAGAATCCCGAAGGTATTCTCCACCACTCGTCTGGCCCGAGACAGTCTGCAAAAGTCACAAATTAAACATTTTTAAGTCAAATGCATTCAAAATTCAAAACCTTTGATATAATATTGCATACACCCAAAGATACTAAGTTATAATTTGATTTAGGTATTTATGGAAAAGAATAATTACCTGCAGTTGAAGATCTGCTGATCGGGGTCCATCTGACGCATGGAAAAGGACTTCATCATCCAGGGGCGGAGTGGAAAGGCATCGTCGCCGATGATGAAGTATGGCACACCATACGGGGAATACAAGGTCATCGCCCTCCATCCGATCTCGTGAATGGTTGAAGACCATCAGCGTCTGATGCTGATCCCTTGGCCCCGACGTTGACCCACGGGAACTTGTAGTCGGCATCCGCGAGTGCCAGCAAGACGATAGAGAAGAAGTTCTTGTAGTGGTAGAAGAGGGACCCGCTTTTGGGAGGCTTCTTGATGCGTATGTGCTTGCCATCAAACGCACCGGTGCAATATGGAAATTGCCACCTTTCCTTGAAAGCACGGGCTACAGTATTCCATCTACTCTGATCCCACTCATCTGACCGATACTCAGCTTTGAAGGCGTCAAGGATAGGATTGATGTGCTTACGGCTGAGGCTTTGGCTTTGGAGGAGGGTTGGCATTCTCCAGGTCATCCACCAGTTCAAGCAGGTGCCAGGCTATCTGCACCCAAATGGTAAGCAGTCTTCGCTTCTCAGGGCTCACCAGGTTTACGTCAAGGTTCCTGATGGTGATGTTACTACTTTGCAGTCCTCTAATTGAATGGGTACCTGGTGAAAATGCACCCTGTAATTTATACAATTTGGAAACCAAGGGTCTACTCGGCAGAAAAATGGAATTTCCGTCGAGAACCAGTCGCTCCGGTTGAACACAGGTCGCGGTGAGGTCGGGCCGGTCGACTTAGGACGAAATTAATTCGAAATTAGGTCGATATACAGGTCTAGCTGGTCGAGTATAGGTCTTCTCAACTTAGCCGACCTAAGTCGAGATAGGTCGACTGAAGTCGAACTAAAATCGAACTAAGGTCGTAAAGGTCCTTACGAGGTCGTTATGAGGTCGTTTTGAGGTCGTTGTGAGGTCGAGATACCCCCAGGTCGAGACCGGTCGAGTAGTTTGCGAGGTCGAGTCGGTCGAGCTCCCGAGGTCGCCACTGGGACCGCGCCACCATGCTGTTAGCATTGAAACTAGATGCCGTAAGACAGAACTACTGCCCATTCATAAGAATTAGCCACGATTTGCAGTAATTTGTAAAATCCGTTTTGATATGCAGAAAGTATCCAGTTTCATGCCATTTGGTGATCTTAATCTGTTTAATTACTACAACTGATTTGTGTTTCTGAATTATAAGTGTGCTGTATGTCTGTGTATGTTGGGCTACCTCGTACCGGGAAGGGTACACCTGGTACTTTCCAACAGAAACTGTATTTTGTAAATAGCGCTTAGAAATAAATTTACAACGTGTATATATCTGTATTTGTAGACCAGCGCCCCATATATTGAAGGTATTGTCTGTGTGACCGTGTGTCTGTCTGGGTGTCTGTATATCTAATGTACATCCGTCACGAAGGACACACAAAGTTAGTACAATCACTAGAGTCGCCTCGTACCCAAACAGAGCCGTATTGCTAAACAGCGTTTGTGCACCTAGTCCCGGGTTATTGACTATAGAAGGTATATTGTACAGTTCAAACCGTCCTTGCTACTTTTTGCGGTAGAGCCGGACTGAGATTAAGAACCACGATACACTGTATCATGAAAGCATACATAACACTCCCCGCTCGTGTTATCAACCACTATTTTGTCATCGTCCGTTCCTGACCGCTTGGATTATTGTGATATTGTTTCAATATTTTTCGCAAAGTAAAATTCGCTCAAAAAAGTCAAGACATAAGAAAACATAGCGTAAATGATTTTTTTATTGTAAAAATATACACATGATGTTTTCGCGTCCAGCACGATTACAACACAAAATCTATGAATAAGATATACAGAACAAATATGCAATTTACTGAGATCATCAATTGTAGATAAGCAGGTGAGTGTGTGTGTGCTTCAACACATCTTCTTCCCCAACACATCATTGAGCATGTGCAGGTCATCATAACTTTCAAACATCACCACATGATCACGTGCTGGGCTTGATCCAATCATATCGATGATCCGGCTCTGCAGGTTGCCAATAGCAACAACATAAAGCTCAACACCCATGTCCTGTGCCCGTCTAGCTTCCATGACGACGTCCATCAAGTTTGTGGTCTTCTCGTCAAGGAAGATAACTCCCACCTGTCGAGAACGACGAGTTCTCCTGTGTGTTTCCACTGCCTGTTGCTTCAGTGTGATGATAAGATCATGCATCTTTGTTTTAGGAGGCACTTGGATTGAACCAAACCTGAATTTGAAGTCGAGGAGTGTGGTGAAGGGGATTTCGCGGTCCCCGATGCAAGGGTCGGTGATGGCGGAGATACGGATGCCCCTGTTGCTGGAGAAGGTGTTCTTGACCAGCTTAATGACGTTAGAACGGAACTGTTTCCGTTCCTCAATTGTCTTTGGGTCAGATTCAAAGACGAAGTATATATCGGAAGAATCGATGTTACAAACTGAAAATAAACCAGAAAATGACATATAGTATTGACAATATGGTCATTTGTTGTATCTTTTACAACACTAATACAATTTATGCATCTATATGCAGTGTATGTATTTAGATTATACAATGTCAAATTCTGTACACAAAATTAATGCTAAAATACTCAGAGGACACGTTTTCTCCATTCGTTGGTTTTACATTACTTTTCAACTCGCAGTGCGCATGCGCAGAGCGTGCGAAAAATATCCACTGGCATGTTTACGGTTTGGTCGTATGCTTATCGATAGTGTAAGCACACCGAAGAAAACAAAAATCAAAACAAATCTATAGTTTTATGTCGAATACAACTGATCCCAATTGATTTATGAAACAGAGGCAGGGATTAGTTAAATAAATAGCTTCCTTTATGTTAACAAGCTCTTGTATAAAGACATCTCACCACCACCGTCCTTCCCGCCAGCCCCAACTAAACACATCTCTGATGGAATTGCAACCAAAATAGGACATCAATTATTGAAAAGCAGAGGCAAATGGAAGTATGTACTCAGCTATGAACAGTTGTCACAACGTAAATCATTTCCATAACAGCTTTTATTTAGCGTGCATTTACACTATCGATAAACATACGACCAAACCGGGAACATGCCAGTGGATATTTTTCACACGCTCTGCGCATGCGCACAGCGAGTTGAAAAGTAATGTGAAACCAACGAATTGAGTGAATTGGGGTTTAGGTGGATCTGAACGGTATTTCCTGTTTTATGACTACGTGTCTGCTAAATGCGGGAGGAATGCCTAAAGTGGCGCTGAAGTTTACCAGTTTGATGAAACTCACGATCAGGGGCGTGAACTCTAAACGCATAATCAGGCGAAACCTACGATCACAGATTTATGGCATGCTCAACGGATGCAACTCTATACTACGGGGCATACCTTGTACTACCAAGAGGAATGAATGGGTGTATGTACGTACTTTTGATGTCGGCAGGTGGTGGTTGGGTTGGCTGAACTCGGCAGGTCTGTATGGCAAGGATGTTTCTGATGCTGGACAAAGCAGAAAAATTTGTTACGGTGAAGACGAAGCGATCATCAGGGTCACTGCTCACGTCTCTCAGTTCCTTGTAGTCAATGTCGGGCCCAACGCCAATGGCGAAGATGTACATGCCCTTCCTCTTCGCCTTCTCAGCCTCTGCAGCAGTCAGAACTGGGTCATAAGAAATGCCATCTGTGACGAGGATGATCACCTGGGCGACGCCTGGTCTCGCGACATTTGACGCGAATCCGTGGTCTCTGACATATGCGAGAGCTGATGACGTGTAGGTCTGTCCACCAGTGTAGCGCACTCGTTCAGGGTTCAGTGCTTGCTGGAGTTGCTCACGGTTGTTGAAGTGGTTGAGAGAGAAGATAGGTGTAGTTTTGTTGGAGAACGTTACCAGGCCAATGCGAGTTTTCGTTGATCCTATGTCAAAGATGGAGACCATGTCTTTGACAAAGGGAAGGACCTTTGTCTCAAAGTTCTTTATCCAGACGCTGGAGGAAACGTCCAAGAGGAAGTAGACATCTGCTGGTTTCCCTCCACAATCTATAAACAAAAAATGCTGGTTATAGCTTCGTAAAACCTCTATACCATCACTCCACGTGTGGACTTAGAAGATTACTCAACGAGTAAACATTTAGTAGTTCAAAATGTATTTTCTGAAGCTGTAGTCATAAAGAGGTTGTTGTTTCAGATTCTGTGACACGTCTCCGTCTATCTTTCCAAACAAATGTCGCAAGCTAATACTGATTATTGAGAACACACAGAAGTGGCCATACTAACATTTAATGGTGTCCGGATCGATGTCGTTCTGTGGTCCCTCAGTTGGAGCAGGTACGGTTGGGATAACTGTCAAGTACAGAACCATCAATTCATCATTTATTACATGTTCCTGCATCTTACTAAGCCAACGGTGAACGAACTACGGTTATGGAAACACATTAACTAATAAGAAACTACATTTTACATTAATACCTATTGTTAACGTTTAGCGCTCACTCGAACAAGATTCCCAGGAAGAAATAACGGTAATAACAGTAAACACAACAATCATGTGCACGACTGTATCACAAGCATGCCTGTACGAGTTATTGTCAAATGTCTATGATGTACAACGTTTTGTCTATAACGGAATATTCGATCGAGACTTCTTGATTTCGTTGACTTTATATATCATATAAGACTCAGCTTTAAGATTACCTTCGCATGTTCTGATGGCGAGGTGTCTCTTGATGCCATGTAGAGCCATGTAGTCTTTGACGTGGAACATGAACAGAGAGTCAGGGTTGTCCGATATGGCACGCAGCTCATTCACATCAACATCATCGCCCACACCAATAGCAAAGATGTGGGCACCCCTGGCGCGCGCTCGGTCAGCCTCGACCCTGGTGACTGTAGGGAACCGCGACCTACCGTCCGTGACCAGGATAATAACGGAGGTAGCCTCTGATCTTGCGCCGTTCTTCAGCCTAAACATGTCGTCTGCCACATAATGAAGTGCTTTGCTGGTGAAGGTGCTACCGCCAGTGAAGACGATATTTTCGATGGCGTGTTCTAGAGAGTCACGTGTCAGGTAGCTGCCAAGGTCAAACTGAGGGTGGTACTCGTCGCTGTATGTGACAACACCCACTCGTGTCTGAGAAGGGGCGGCGCCGACATCGAACATACGAACAACATCGCGAACAAAAGGGCGGACGTATTGGTTGAAGTCGGACACCCAAATGCTTGAGGAAGTGTCCAAGACAAACACTACATCAGCTGCCTTGCCAGAACACGTCTTCAGTGCTGAGGACAGAAAAAAAGTCAGGTAAACTAGGGGGTTTGTTTCGTAAAGTGACAGCAATGTTTCAGCTGTATAAGAGCGGTCTGTACATAATCTGGCTCGAACAAGACAATCCAGTGATTTGACATCATGAACATCGAGCCACAGAACTGGGTACCTTGTCAACAATCAACGTGAGTGAGCGAGGCCTGGTATGATGGAGGACAAGTTTAACCCGGATCTTCACAGGTTTTATTGAGCTAGTTGACAAGGAGGAGGCTTTACTTACATAGCTGGCATTGAACTGCACCCAAGCCCTGCAACAGCAGAAAGATACAGTCTTTAAAAACAAAATTCACACAATAATTCAAATTTCCATATTGCGGATATATAATCACAATGTTCTTTCCGGTAGAGCAACATCGATGTGAAACAGTTGATTGTGTAGTAAAATTTAGATCTAAACTGAAACAATACCGTAGTAAAACTATTGCATTAAATTGACTTACCACCGCCATGATCAAGATGTGTGCCCATAGTGACGTCATGTCTGCTGCTTTCAGATCGTCTGCTTCCACTGGCTGAGTTAGGCACCGAACTGGAAATCTGATGGACCTTTTATACTATCTTGTCAGGTGCTTCAATTCATTCAACGGACGTGGTTTTAGCGTGGGAGCTTCCGAAGACGTCTAAAGTTCGTTGGTCATGTGACCAGTGTCAAGTGGGGATTGTAACCTCGGTTATTCTGATAACAGGTTAACTTCCGTACGGCCTGCGTGGAATGCTGGACCTGAATAACTCCTCTCTTGGCCGCATCTAGGCAATGTACCGTATTCTGACGTGTCGCCCTGTTTTAGGAGATGGTTCAGACGTCAATACAAGATGTGGGAATCCTGACAACGAGTGTTCATCACAATGTATGTTAGTCCACATACCATAAGACTGCCAACATTCCTGAAATGAAATCATAAAAATGAATTCTCGTCAGTGTATTTACGTTTTCATTCTACCCACAAATATCGTTCATGCTTAATAATACCATACCGTTATATATACAGTAAACTCTTGTATAACGAACACGATCATAACGACCGATGTACAGCTTGGTGTATATTTTAGTCGAAATATTTATAACGAACTACTTTTATAACGACGTTAAATGACTGGTTCCTTTGAATTCGTTATAACCGTAGTCTATTGCCTTTGCTACATGTTTTACTTATGGTGAGCTAGAGATGGTGCAAACAAACTCTACACTTAATGTGTCCTCACTTGACTTGCTTTACGTATTTACTAGAGTGTTTGATATCGAAGGGCGATAACTGCAGTGAAGATAAATATGTGACGTGTGCCACCCCTAACGTGAAAACCGGAGTACTTAAGTTGTGATTTCCGTCCCGACAATGTTTAATTTTACCCTGTATGTCACAGAGATTTGCTGTGCGTAATACGAAAGTAAAAGTAGATTCATGTTTCTTTTGTTCGGCATTTGTTTAAAGTATGTTCAAAGACAAATATAAACTTAATTCATTTTTACATTCAGTATTAGATACTTGCGTTTTTTACTAAATGATGAATAATTACATGACATTGCGATGACACATTTTTTACTTTAATAGGGAATATATACGATGTTTACACCTGAGTCACTTCATCGTCTTCGTTGTTTTATCATGTATGTAAAATATAAACAGAATATTTCATCGATTAAGGATGGCTGTTATTGCTTTTATCAAAAGACTAAGCGAATATAATACGACAGCTAATGCATCAGTGATTTTATATCAACAACCCTCAATGAATGACGAGTATTTAATCAAAGTTCGGAAACTACTTTGCAAAAAGAATTCACGACGTGCAACATTATCGACCTCACACAGACAAAGTTGATTTTCATGGTGTTTTTAAAAAAAATGACGACATGCCCCAGTATTACAGTTAAACATAATACTCGTTCATATCAGCAATAAGGAAACACAAGTGACAGAGTCATATCATAAAAGACTTACTTTACATGTCTTGGGATGTGTACCGGGTATTTGTTTCCAGTAAGAGGTGTGTGGCGTAATGCTGTCAATGAGTCGTCGTATAAAACGATGGAAACATCCCAACACCCGGTGTTACTCCATCCTGTTGTTCACAGTGACAAAACAACTGTATAGCTATAGCAGATATCACCAGAGATGGCGTACAAAACTGACGTATAAAAGAAAGTACACACCCGGTGCTTTTGGATTACTTTCAAAAAAGCGACGTAAATGTTTTAAAACGACTTTTTACAGGGATGTAAAGGTCACAGACTTTCCTAATATGTTGCCAAAACACCACAGATATCGTTCCCTATTGCGAAGCTGCCAGTCAAAATAATAACACTTTTCAAATAATCCCAAAACACCAGGTGTGTACTTACTTTTGTACGTCAGTTTAGTTTCAGCAGGCTGAAAGGCCGAATTAACGGATCTTAATTGAGAGAATAGAGAACACGGTATCAGAAATCTGGTAAACATTATTCAAACCGACATCCCTAGAGAAAATACACGATTTTTGTTTTGCTCTGAAATATACACCACAATTATGATGCCATGAGAGTCTACATGAACATTGTGTCGTAGTAATAATGACGTAACAGAGCGTAACAGAGTAGCACCCAAATCAAGCCGCAGTGATGTCGTGAAGGTTTCCTCATGAAACATGTTGTCAGTCAGTGTGAGCCACAACACGTTAAGAAGCAACAGTAGAGCCGTAACATCACTTTATGTTACTACCCACCGGAGGGTCTGTGTAAGAGGTACATCTGAATAAACATTACTCTTTGCCGTAATAGAGTCATCAGCAAGACTGTGGTCTTACATGGAGTACAGAATTCTAAAGAATTATGGAAGTATACTTCACAGTATTCAAGAACAGTTCTAATAGTAACGTCTTGCACAATGTTATTTTGAAAAGTATAAACATTTTTCATATATTCTCAGGTTATCTTGATGATCTTTATGTATCTATGTTATCTGTGGTCTGAATCATTAATATAGAGTTCAATTTAACGGATAATACTTGTTCTGTGTCTATATTATGCTTGCCGGGCACATGACAATCTGCTGTATGTATGTATAGACAGTTTCAAGTGATTCAATACTGGGAAAATGGAATTTTCTTGCCAGTACAGCCTAAATATAATTTAATTCATATAATCAGGTCTGCTGAAGTAAATTACGAATTTCGGAGAATGAGAACTAGGAATCCCAACACTGCAGTCTGTGGTACAGAATGCCCACGCGGAAGACGTTGGTCAAGGTGGGGATGGAGGATGTCCGTGAGGTCAAGGACTCTGTAAACTACGTCGTTAAGAAATTTAATTCAATAGTGTTGAGGGCACTGTTAACTGGAAGCGATATCAACTCGCCATTATCATCACCACCAACATCAACTCATTAATGGGCTTTATATAGACAAAAGTTTCAACTCTAATGTGAAGATATATAACTACACAGATTGTCTGTGCATGGGATATAGGGTCATATTCCAGAGGAGTTATATGTCGCTGTGTTTACCAGCATATCGAACTGTTCAATGTATGTTGAATGTGTTTTGACAATTAATCTATAGCAGGTCCGAGTTTAGTGGAAATAGAAAAAATAGCACTTGAGTTAGTGTCAGATAACTCGTGTGATAAACTACGATTTGAGGAATTGTGAGATTGTCCAATGTGTTGTCTACTTTCGCCCTTTGTCCGGGTTGGGAATTGAAGTAGGACTCAGCTAGAATATCCTGCGCTAGCTAATGCTTTGTTTTCTTTTAATAGTATGATCACGTTTCCCGTTACACATTGATATCACGAAACAGGATGGCCTTACAATTCTATGAAGACATATTTTCCTGAAGACTACGTAACATAGTAACATCCTTCCGCACAATGTTCAAAGAACGACACAAATGCCTGTAGACTGAGGCATGCTGTTGTAAAGGGTTTTGCAACGTGTACACTTGCATCTGAAACCATCACTAGTGTTCTGTGTTAAAACTACACTCAATTTCTGTACATTGTTTAAAAGATTAAATTTGATTCTGTTAGCAGAAAGAAATTATGGTTTAAAACACACGGTCTGAGCAGTACACTTGGAAAGTTAATGTGATATATATATCAGAGTGTGTAGGTGTGACCGGGAACTAATAGTATACTGGTTTTTATTAATGGCACTATTGGTTTATCAAGATAGAGACAGCGTAGAATTTGTCACTTTTGTGATTTAAACATTTTAAGAAATGAATGTTATTTCTTACTAATATTACAGTGCATATATTTCTTCATACATTTTTATATTTTTCACAAATTATTCATAACACAGAAAATTCGTATATGTACAAGTCGCAGTGCATAGTGTGTCTTGTTTATAGCCCTGCATGTCAAGCGCAGTAGTAGGCAATTAGCAAACGCATCCACGCCAACCTTAAACTAATTAATCAAAGATGAAGCTAGCGAGCTGTGTCGGCTCCGGCCTTTCTTCTCGGGTACATCCCTTGGTCAAGCACAGATAAGTAGTCCCATCACAGCAGGAGCATGTCTACCACCAACTTAGTCGTAATCGAAAATCAACTTTTGTTGAACAAGATCGAGATTACCATCATGCCATCCTCTTTGTCCTGTCGTAAATGCCATGGTCAAGCGCTGACAGATATTTTGTTAAGCAGCTGGCGCAAGCTGACCGTGGCTACACCACAAAGAAAATCAAACCTTGTTAGGTAATCATCTTCTTACCACCTACCTCGTGTAGTAAACCTTGTCAGCATAGGGTAGATAACGCATATGGAAACTTCAACTTTATAGAAACTTGATAATGACAAACGAGTAGAGCTGTGGGGTATAAAATCCTGGGTTCTTCCATCTCAGGCACACTTGCTTGAATAAACCCTGGATCTCACAGCTCTGCCTCCTTTCTTGTTTCAAGGTAAGAAACACTTAAACTTTATTATTGTTTATGTTTCACTTGTTATTTCTTTGTAATCATCGTCTAGAAAATGTTAGAGTTAGGTTAGAAACATTCCTACAACACTGAAGCACTTTTTCATTGCAAATGCTAGTTCTAGATAACCGATTAATTATTAGGCACTATCCAGGGATATTTATTTATGCACATTGCGTCGTGGGCTCCTCAAGTTTATGTTTTTTCATGTACAAACAAATATTTCTTTTCTATGTTTCGACACACATGTGTAGATTCCCAGTCCTTGTCTTGTTTTATTCATTTGCGTGTTAGATCTGTATATGCAGATTAGATTCCCGTTCAGTAGCCTAGATTCTAGTAGCTTAGTCACAAAAACAGTTCCGAGAGTTTATACAATCATTTCCAGCAAAGACGAAGTTTTATGTATTTTACGATAGTCCGCCGATCAAATGATATTCGTGTAGATTTACCTCAGATACGCGCTCACATGATAGGTAACATTTGTGTTTTGATATTTCACCAACACTATAAGTATTTGAATAATGATGTATTAAACGCTCCGTTCCGCGTGCAGTTGTATACCGTACAGAACAGTTTATACGCGAATCACATTACCGTAATCAGTAGAAAATGGTATTGTCTACTCTTCATATTACCAGAAAATATACATTCAAATCCGTGTA